TTGTTTTTCCTTTCGTGTTCTCAAATCCAATTTGATTAATTCGCTGTGTTCTCTATTATAATTTAACTTAATCCCATATTACATGGCAGCAGGTGGTAAAATGGATTTATTGGCTTTTGCAAGCCTGCGCTGTCAAAGGAAAATATGAAAAAAGCCAACAGATAAAAGCCACCAAGAGAGGAAGAGACAGAAGCGCCGGAGTGAGACCGCACTGACACGCTGACAGCTGAAGTTTGAAACTGGGCAGAAAGAGAAAAAAGAAGCACGAAAGCATAAACCACATTACGTCAAAACTGGGGGGGGGGGGAATCCTCACTGTAATCCTTACGGATAGCACAGCTCTGTATTACAATGAACAGTTGCACGAAACAGCACAAAGACACGATTTGTGGGAGTGAAATGATGTAGATTTGACTGTTTTTTTTTTTTTTTTTTGGTTTAAATACGTTAATTAGGGTGAGGATTTGTGTGTGCGTGAGTGCCAACTTTGCAACGCCATCATGCTGTGGGAAGAATGAGAGAAAATGTGCTGTTTGTTTTCTCCTCTGCCAGAACATAATGGATTTGTTTAAAATTTCATGAGCTTGCTGCTGATTTGGACGAAGACTGAAAAAAAAAAATCCTCAGAAATCCTCCACTGTGGTGAAAGTTAGAATTTGATCCGTCTGACACCTGTTACTGGGTCAACCTTCTCTTTAACACGCCTTTGTGAGCATACTGGAGGAATAAAGTAGTGTTTAAATCCACCTGTGGGAGATATGAGATACCGTTTCCGCTCCCCAACTTCGCTGCACGCACAATTATCGCTCCCTCCTTTGAATACAGCGCAACCCATTAGAAATAGATTGAATAGGGCTGAGAAAGGCCATTTCATCCTTTTGGGAGCTGCCTGAGCACAGACAGGAGATCCTTTGTGCGTCTGATCAGAAATACTGAGGGAATTAAAAACGGTTGTGTCCGAAGTGCTTCCTGATTTGATAGCAGGGATGAGTAAGATGCATAAAACACGGCACTGAAAAAAAACATATTCCTAAGGGATTGTTGTCCCTTTGAAACAGAAAAACGAGGTTTCAAGCAGGAGAACTGTCTTCGTTGTTTTTCTAAATGCCACTCCGGCTTTAATCACCCTCATTTTGCTCATGATTTAATGGTTGTTCATTATTTCCCGCCAGGGCTCTGCTGTAAAAAGGTCACTGCTGGTGACACGGCTTGTTGCACAGTTACAGTAAAGAGTCAGATCCTGAAGCCCTGCAGACCTGCAAACAATGCATGGATGATGTAAACGTGGTAACGTGCTGCTCCAGTTGCGGAACATTAACGTCTTTGCAAATTAAGGTCCGTTTCCTGTTGTGAGGTCATGTCCTCTTCCATAAACTACAATTATTTGTAATTATATTATTAGAGATTACCAAAAGATCTATTCAGATGAACATGAGTGACAGGCTGTGGAAAGCGCTCCATACATATGTCTGAATCATCCTGGGTGAAGGCAGGTCTCAAATGTAGGCAAGAGTATGAATATTTTAACTGACGTGCAGCTCAGTTGAGAGAAGATACATTTATGTGAGAAAGTGCACAGAGCATTCATAAATAGTCCACATTTTTCCAGTATTCCCGTCTAAATGCAGGAAATTAATGGCCTCAATAACATTGAAAGCTGATGGATTTATTAATGTGCAGCAATAGCACTGAACATTTATGTAAAATGTTGGGTCTTTATTTTAGAACCATGTTGTGACCAAATTATCCTCCAGTCTTTGTTAAACCCATAGCCGTATTTAACAGTGTTATTGACTATTCTAATTACAGAATGTGTCAACTTGTTGCTCTATAAAAGTGGACTATTGGGCGAACATTTTGTGTGATAAATGCAGGATTAAATCTTAAAAAACTATTTATTGTAGTAATGTTAGATTGTATTTCTGTATTTATTTCTTTTTACTTCTTCCCTGTGTAGTGAAGTATCTTCTGTCTTTCTGTCCTTGCTTTTATTCTGGAACAAAAGACTGAAGATCCTGTAAAAATACTCAGGTCAGGCAGCATGCCAAGGGACAATCTGATAAAACTTAAGATGTGCAGATCAGGTTAAGTCAAGGGAATGTAATTTGGACTGAAGTGCAACAGGATGAGTCCAGTAAGTGAAGCTGTGGGAGCCTGAAATATTTTGGTTTTCTCTGATCTTTCTGTTCTTCCCATCACAATATTATATTTTGCAATGGAGGTGTCTTTTATTCAAATTTAGTTTAAATCCTTTTGCTTCTTGTTTTTTTTCTTCTGGGTTTTATCCTTTGTTTTACATCAGGAAGCTTTTTGTTCTAATGTCGCCCTGATTCTTGTTTATGAATCAGCGCATCTTCTCTGTGTGTGAGTCTTTCCTTCTTTGGCAAAATGAAAGTTTTCAGGTCTCATATTTTAGTTTCTTGTCATTTTATTAAAAAGGCATTATTATCTCTGCTTGTTTAAATAATACTAACAGATCACTATTTTTTTGTTTGTTTGTTTTAAATATATTTTCTTACCTTAGATGAATCCTGAGCTCTGTTTCCAAGGAAATCTCTTGCACAGAGAAGTGCTGTTTCTTTGTACAATGAACCATGGTAAGTCATTTTATAATTCATGCATACAGTGCGGGTTGGTATTCATGTCGAAAATGTTTTCATAAATATCAATTTCTGTCGTAGTAGCTTTTTTTGTCTGTCTTAAATGTTTCAAATCATCAAATAAATTATGAGTTATCAAACAAAGATCATCTGAGGATCTTTTCAAATGATTTATTAATAAATCAAATGATTTATTCATAAAGAAAGGAGCACTCTGTCAATGAGAATTGGTTTATTTGAGCACTCAGTGTTTGAGCATGAGCAGCTCAGCAACCACATCTCAATCAGACACTTTTTTTTCTATTTTTTGATTTAGAAAATTAGCATTCTTTTGTGATAAATTACAAGATGTTACCCAAATCCTCCCGTGATATATTAGGTTTTTCTCCTCCTTTGAGTTGTTCAGACTTCAACCAGAGTACATTAATTAAATTTAAACATGACCACCTACTGCATATTTCTGCAAAACCTGTAAAATAACATTATAGGATGATTATGTTGTTACTATGCAGTTTTTGTTGTTGAGTTGTTGAGATGATTAAGAAAACACGTCTGCTGCATTTTTGGAAGTCTGAGAAATATTGAATCAGACTTATAGTGTCAGTGTGTCTGGATTATGGTCGACTTCATCTGATTTTTACACTAGAGACCTCAGGCCCAGTGTTGACACTGAAACAGTGTGCATCGCACCACAAGTCTCTGTAAATCAGTCCTCCAAATCCTTCACCCATTCACGACTGAGAGAATCTAAATCCACACAGGGGACTGCATTGTCTCGGTGCCTGGTTTAGTATTTAGAGCTGTGATAAAAATATATTCTCTTTCAAACAGCATCTAAGCTTCACTGTTTCTTCAAGGCTGCCAGCTTTATTGTTTCCAAAGAAGTATTCATTAGTGCACGGGCACAGGACCAGAAACTAAAAACTTTAGCTTAGTCTTCCCCCAAAGGGAGCACAAACCTGACGCATATGAACTGTTTTCATTGTAGATCTCTCCGCTAAAGCAAATGCTCGTAACCTCCACACTTTTTAAGCGATCAATAAAAAGACATAACTTTAAATATCATTATCATAATTTTGGTTCTTTGCTGTGCCTAATGCGTGATGCGGGAGTTTGTTTTTCTTAGAATTTGCCAGTCCGTTGAATACCAGCGTCATGAGCCAGCATGAATGAGCAGGTGCATGCATGGGTGTGTTTGTAAGGATTCGGGCAGCCCAGCTCTCCTAACAAGTGCTGAAATAATAATGAGAACTTTGGTTGCGTCAGTGCGGTGTGTACGACGGAGAAGGAGAAGGAGAAGGAGAAGGAGAAGGAGAAGGAGAAGGAGAAGGAGAAGGAGAAGGAGAAGGAGGGAGATCACAGAGAAAAAATAGAAAAATGACACCAGAAAGTCAGATCTGGGTGTGATCTGACCCTCACAACCAATATTCACTCACTGACATTTTTTAAAGTGTGATAGACTCTGAGAACATCAGGTTCTCAGAGTCTATCACACTCAGAGTCTATCACACTCAGACTCTGAGAACCTTATGTTCTCAGAGTCTATCACACTTTTAGAGGAGTTTATGTTCAAGTGATGAAGACTAACCACTCTTTTGTTCTTGTTTGCTGTGGAACATTTATCTCCACGATGGGTTTGGAGCCTGTGTGAGTTTATGCTGTCAAGCAAAACAAATCAGCTTAAAAATAAGAAAAAAAAAACATAATTACAGAACTGGTAAGAGGTTATCTCTCAGCTTTATGAGATAAGCTTTTAAACAGAATGCCCTTTTATTACTGCTCTCAGGTACATTTTAGTTGAACTGGGTTGGTCCCTGTTTTCCTTCAGAACTAATTCATTGTGCCGTAGATTCAATCAAGCGTTGGAAAAATCAGAACCATATTGACATGGCAGCGTCTCAGAGTCACTGCGGATTTGCCGGCAGCAAATTCACGATGTAGCTCTAGCATTCTACCACATTATATGGCTTGTTAGCTCAGGATGTAATTGTTCTGTGGCTTCATTTTGTTTATGCCAAATTATGACCCTTCCATCTGAGTGTTGCAGCTGAAACAAAGACTCCCGATCAAAACCAAACAACTTTTTTTTTTTTTTACAAATTCTTGTTATTGTCCAGTTGCAGAGGTCCTTGTTGAGGTCAGAGGTCTGACATTTTTGTCCACACAGATCAACATTTTCTTCTTTTTGGACCATTCTATGAAAACCCGAGTGATATTTGTGGTGTCAAAAAAGTTTTCAAAAAGATTTTTGTTCTAAGTAATTTGTGAAAGAGGCTTAAAATAAAAATAAAAAACAACTGCATATGCAAACAACGCAAAAGGAAAACTTACAACAATTTGAAGTTATTTTAAAAAACATTATGCTTGAAAACAAGAATTAGTAACAGATGACGAGGCAGGACGAGTGAATTTTCATATTTAATTGCATGCTGCAGTTTCAACGATTTGGTACAAAATATATCATGCAGCATGGGTAATTTTTAAGAGTGCAAAACGTGTCAAAAATCACCTTACAGATCAGTCCGCGAGCATGCCAAACAGTTACAATCACTTCCATCAAGCTGTCATGGAGATCATTTTTATTTTCATTTTTTTCAAAAATAATCTACAAAATATTGGTGGTTTAATGTGTTTTCACCCAAACGAGACCAGGAAAAAAAAATACTTTGTCTTCAAAAAAAAAAAAAAAAAAAACTACATCACGTCCACGGATTATACTTCAGGCGTGGAAGGAATAGAAATAACAATCATGCTTGCAGACAGACTCCTAAAGCAATCCTTTTTCAGAGAAGGGGAAACCAAAACGAAGCATGAGGTAACAGCTTGTAAACATTGTTGTTACTTTGTTCAAGTTGGCAATATTAAAACCACTCCAAACATGTAAGAATCGTTGTAAACGTGTAAACAACTGCCTGGAGTTTACGCACGAACTTTACGCACAAACATTGGTCGTTTAGGAATACTTTCCTGTTGTCATTTGTCGGAAGGAAAAGTAAAGTTCTTTGCATATCGTTAATCTTGACACGCATCAAGCATCCACGACGGGCGCGTCCAGATGCAGATCCTAAAATCCGCACCTGATCCCCATTCTGGGTCTCCCACAGCGCCTGAGTTCTGTCCTCTAGCCGAGCCCAATCATGACAGTTTCCACGTCTTTGGAAGGTCTCCGGTCCTTTACCAGGAAGTTAATCATGCTTTCTGACTTGATCATCAGGTTGCACCCGAGGAAAAAAATGCCAAACATCACGGTGAGCGAGAGGACGCACAGCACCGCGATCTGGACGACACGCATGACAAAGAGTTTGCGCTCATCCTGCAGCAGCACCAGCGACCCTCCGCCGTCATCGGTCATCACAGTCTCTGAGCTGTTACTTGAATAAGTGTCCAGAGCCCCGGCAAGGGTCTGGCTCCCATTAAACAGCACGCCTTGGGTCATGTTGAAAAGAGAAACATTCATGCTTCCTTGCGGGTTATCAGCAGCGAAAACACGGGGACTCCACTTCAGTGGCGCACGGTCTCAGAACAGAACTTAGAGTCCAGTGAAGATGTTGGTTTATGTGAATCTTCAAACAAAAACCAAGAGGAAGACACAACTACACGCTTTCGAGCTCCAACTCTCCTGCCAGACATTGAGATCAGCTACCGCTTTCGTGCGTAATGACCGCAAACACCTCTCCAACCTGCCACAGTCGAATAAAGTCGCATCACCTTCGAACAAAGTAAGTTTTCTTTTTCAACTCAGTGTTTTTTTTGTTTTTTGTTTTTCAGAAGTTACATGAGTTTTCAAGACAGTGAACAAAGATCGACACAATGTTTCCCTCCGGTGTAACAAGGTAGTCCCTGTGCGCCTGTGCTCACTGTGAGCGCTCCCTCCGTGGTGCGTTTTAAAGTGATGATGAGCTCCCCGCGGAGCGCACAGCCACCCCTCACCGCGGGAGAAGACAGGTGGGCTCCGACTATCAGGTGTGTGTGCGCGCGCGTGTTTGCACGTTCGAAAGTGAAAGAAAGAGCTAAAGGATGAACAAAGAAAGAAAGAAATCAAGAAAGGAAAGGAAAAAATGTATTCATATTTGTAATTAATTTTGAAAAAGCATTCATGATAGTTTAACTTTTTTTATTTTCTTTTTTGTATTTCATCAAGTTAAAAACACAGACTTCAGTGTATTTTATTACGGCTGCATGTGATAAACCAACAAGCCACAGTAGAAATTGTGGAGGGGATTGGAATCTAACATGATTTAAACTTTATTTACAAAGAAATGATTTTATAACCAACACATGTTGGTATCTCAAGCTTTTAACATCTTACAGAACTCTGCTAAGAGTACGGCACGTCTGCAAACCAAGCCATTGTAACCTGACAGCAGGTCGACAAGGTTAGTAAGAGAAGCAGTCAAGAGGTGCATTATAATTCTGGAGGAGCTGCAGAGGGCCACATCTCAGGTGGAAAAACTTGTTAGCAGCATAAAAACTATCAGTTGTGCACACCACATATCTGGCCTTTGTGAAGGAGTTACGAGAAGAAAGTTGTTGTTGAACCAAAGCCACAGTTTGCAGTTTGTAACATATGAATAAACACGTAGAAAGCGGCTCTGGTCAGATGAGAGCAAAATGAAAATGAAAAGTTTTGGCCGACATTCAAAACAAGCATCAGAAAGCTAGCATTGTGTCTCATCTTGAATATACCATGCTCACTGTATAACATGGTAATGGCAGCATCATTCTGAGTTCATGAGAAAATGAAGATCGCCTTTTAACAAGGCTGAAAAAGTTGCAATCCAGAGATACAATCAAATCCAAGAATCCTAAAAATTGACGTTCACAGATGGAATGATGACTGAACTTGAGTCATTTTTCAAAGAAGAATTGATCTTTTTTGGTTTTGATTTAAGAGAACTTGATGTAAATGCAAACTTCATTTTCAGATATTTATTTGTCTACCCCCAAAATAAAATCACGTATCATTTTCTTTCAATTTGGCTTCTGTGCATCACTTTGTCGGCCTGCTTTTTAAAATGCCAGTAAAAATATTTTGGAGTCAGTGGCTTTAAGTTAAAAGATCCGAAATAGATCAAAGGTTTGCAAAATAACTTTAAACTCGTTTGGCTAACATTTTTGAAACAATATAAACCTAAAGATGTGAAAAGAATGAGCTAACAAACAGAATTTAATCTACATTTTAGCTATTATAGGCCTCATTTGAAAAGAATCTCACGGATGTCTTGGAATCCAAAACAAATTATCACTCTGAGCTTTAATTTAGCAGTTAAGACTTGAATAATAAGATATCGCTGAACAGCAAATATGTACAACGGCTCCTTTGCCTTTTCAGTGCCAATTGTTTTCCTTTCCAAGCTTCTGCCTGAAATTAAATTGTTGAACAGCAGACATTTCCATAATTACTTTTTGGAAAGTATCACTCAGAGATAACTTTGTCTATAAAGTGCTGCAGGTTTCTGCAAGCGGACTTGACACCCACACAGTTTCAGAAATAAAAATGAACAACATGTAGTGCAAGTAATGCTATTGTCATCATCAGTAATGGACTTCTACGTTTGATGCTAAGACGTTTTCAGTGATGGAGAAAAGTTTGGGTAGTGATGCTTTATTGTATGATGGCTTCATATCATGATATAAAGGCTGAATTAGCGTCCATTAAAGCATTTCTTGTTGCTTATTATATTTGAAATAACAGTTGTAAAAAAAAAAAAAAAAAAAATGATCCCAAATATCTACATTGAACCTGCTGAAATCAAATACATTTCAATCAGAATGACTTTTTGTGTAATTTCTGAAGAAATTTGCTGCATCGATAAAATGGGCTTGTTCTATTCGCCAAGCTGTAGCTGGTACAAAACATTTTTTATTTTCTTTGCTGCCACAGTTACAGTTACAAAAGGTTGCCAAACTGTCACAGATTTGGCTTTGCACAAACTTTGCAGTATCGTGTTGTTTTGGTAAGTTTACCTATTGCAATCTGATCTATAAACTACGGATTCACGATTTAAAAACCATGATCCCTAACTCACCAAACAGTTTGAAAGGAGCTCCACAAGGAAAGAAAATGTTTGTTTTTTTTGTTTGTTTTTGTTTTGTTTCTGAAACCAGCTCGGCATCCAACAATGCTTCACTCTGACCCAGTCAGAAGAGCAGCTGAACTTCTCTCCTTGGAATTTTTGGAAGTAGAGAAGTTGCTGAGTTCAAGTATTGCACTTTTTAAAACCGCTATTCTGCTTTTCTCTTCAGTCCTGAGATGAAGATAAGAAGAAGGAAATGGAGGAAGAGAAGTTTTTCTGATTAAATAGTTACGCTTCCTCTAGCTCGTGCTCATTACAACCATAAAACTGCAGCAGTAATATCAGTAAAAATAAATGTCTACCCATGAAAACTTCATATTGATGCATGAATTAAAACTAATTTTATCTCATTTTGTCTGTTTTTGAATCTCCACCCAAAACATAAATTATAATTTATTTATGTCTTTAAACCAAACATGAGAGCACAGGAACAGTTGGCAAACATAAACAGATGTCAAACTGAACTTCACATTAATATAAATTGATCTGAAGTTCATGTTTGCAATATTTAAAGAAACAGCTCCGTCAATCACTCTCAAATACCCCTGTGCGACCGCCGAGCTGGCTCTGTCGGATTAATCTTCTGTTTGTTCAAAAACAAAAGGCCACGAAATTTAATTTGGGATGCTCTTGACGTCTGCGTAAGCAGCTTTCAGCCAAGCATGTGTACAAACAATGATTAGCTTCTTCCACAAGTACCTAACTTAAGCCTGGGGGCGGATTGCTGTTAGATAAATTTATTGATGGCTGCAAGTAAAAGAAAAAGTATGACTTTCATCTGTGGTGAAATGAAATCATTCAATCAATCTTTGTAATTAACTATGGCAAATTTATTTGAAGGACGTAAATCAAGTTCATAATGGTTGAACAATTATTCACTGTGGAGTAATTACAGACTGTTGCTTGTACTTACAACAAAAAACCCCTTAGAATATGTAAATTATTTGTGACTGAACCTCTACTATGACTCATATCACAAACACTTGGTGATTATTTTACCATCAGGCTCTGCAGAGCATAAAGTTGCGGATTTTCACATAACTGTTGATGATTTGTTGGGGCAAATGTATATGCAGATACTGTAAAAATCATACGAGGCTGCATACATGAACGAGTGTCTGACTTGTTCCTTAGCAACAGAAGACCTGTGAGCTCAGTGACAGATGGTTGGGGAAGTTATTTTAGTTTAATGGAGAAAGACAGGGAGGGAGCGAAGACATGCCTTTACTTTGGAGAGATGACGTATCCAAGACACATTGACGAAAAGGGACTGGCACATGAAATTACAAAAGAAAGCGAAGGGTTTGCAGCGTGATTATATGCATAAGAGGTGATTGTTTGCAGTCGTCCGCAGGTAAAAGAGAAGCCAAAGGATGTCCAAACTGCTCACATTTTCCACTTAGTTACTTTTTTCCGTTTTTGTAAACAAACACAGCTGAGACCTTAACATGGTACACATAGGCAGCTGCAACAGAAGGAGAAACGAAAAGGAACAAAAAAATATATATAACTTATGTGTCAGTTTTTAAAGTTTTCTATTGCTTTTTTCTTGTCATTTTGTTTCACGGTGTCACTAGAAACACTCAAACACTGAAACACTAAACATAACTTCTCTAGATGTGGCATTTCACCACTTCATAGTGTTGAAAAGAATACTGACAAAACAAGATATTACCCAAAAAAAAAAAAAAAACATATCCAAATAATAAAAGTTCTTTTTAGGTAAACTGTTTTATAACTTTTAACTGTCAATGGCTTTTGTGGCTAATTATTGTAGCAACTATGTTCAGTATTAGTGCTGTTATCACCAAAAACACTGGCAATTAGTAGTCACTACAATAAGACTTTCTCCAGCTATGAGTCATGCTGCTAGTTTTCAAAGTGTTATGGCTGTAAAAAGCTTAAGCTATATAATCCTATTAGTACATTACCGTCTAAAATGAGTCACGGCACCAAATGAGTTGTGCATGTGAAGTCCCCTCCCAGTGTGAGACCCGTGCAAGCACGTAGCTCTTGTGTCAGGTTGCCATTATTTGCTTTATTAGACAGTATTTATGAAGGCTTTCAAACCACAACACCTGTAAATTCACCTTCCCCTCTATTGCAAACCCGTCTTATGCAGCGCCTGATATGGAACAGTGAAATTAGCATCTATGTTGATGATATTTATATGGATTTCCCATTTTAGACATCAACGACAGGAACTGAGCCAAAAAAACAATTCACCAGTTAAAGATGTTTGTACTTTCTGAATTGGTAGTACGTCAGAACCTGGTTTCCTCGAAGCTAAAAGCCCACTGTTTACATTTTGAGTCATATATATTTCACTTGTTCACTTGTACTCCTATTGAGGATTTAAATTATTTTAAATGAAAACATAAACAACTACCGAAGATATATGTCAGAAAGTTGGATTTTGAGATGAAGAGAAAGACGAGGCGAAGACATTTGTTTGGAGAAGGGATTTGTTTCCCTCTGTTGTCCTCCCTGAAGGTGTCATCATTACTGCCAGACCACAGCTCTTCCTGTCAGATCTGGGGTAGACATGGGGGTGGCCGATGAGCAGTTCTTCTGTCCTCTGAAGTTGATGCGAAGGGGAAAATTTTCCACTCAACATGAGGCAAGTGGCAGCCTAGCAACACAAGCCAAGCAGAGACATTTGCAGCAACAGAGAAATGCAGTTTGACCCCGCCCCCTGCTCCTCGTCTCGGCTTCTTGCCCGCAAATACATTTCTGGAAAGCACGCCCTGTGCGACGCTCACCTGACATTCTTCGAAGCATCTCCTCTTCGTTGAGGGATTCTTCCCACGATGGCCCTTCATTAGCCGATCAAAGCAAACCCTGAACTGTAAAGATTCCTTTGTGACCCATTCTTCTGCTGAAGAAGACATATGGGGGCAATTAAATGCCAGAGCAAATTAGGGAAAGTGAACTGTGATGGTTTTTTTTTTATTTTAGAATCACAGAAAATGTCAAAGGCCAAGTTTTGATCTTAAGGTTTTTGCCACCTCTGGGAGTCTTAATGAGATGGAGTTAATGCAGCCATTAATTAGTCTAATATAAACTGCTCTGGCTCCACAGCAGACCGGTGCCTTGCACTGACACTGCACTGAACAGACATCAGTCATAAAGTTTCTTTAGGCAGATAATGACTTCGCTGCAGAGAGATTTGCACTTCTATTTCAGCCAGCCCGCTTCAAAAGGCTCAAATGAAAATCTGTTTGTTTGAGAAACAGATTACAGAATTCACAAATCTAATGGAGGATTTTTTCTTTCTTTCTTTCTTTGTTGCTCAGGCGCAGACACACCACACACCGAGCCAGCACCCATTAAAGCTCATTTCCATTTAGACACATCTTCAAATCACAGATTTTTCTCCCCTGGCTCTTTGTTCGCCCTCTTTCATCCAGTTTTTCTCTTTAAGTCCTTTCTCTGAATCCGCACAGTGCTGTCGCATGTGAGGACAACCCCGAGGTTTTATCAGGAACAGAAGAACCCTCCTTTTTAATTTCCTTCCAAGCTAAATGTTAAGTTATTAATGTTTATTTTCTCCTCATATAAACTTTCATCCCCTGGGATTAGGAAACGTAAGCCTCGCATCCAGAGAGGGGCTGCAGAAGGAGGCAGATCGGATTGAGGTGCGTCACAACACAAATACACAATGTCTCAGATAAGCGACGGTTGAGCTCTTCTTATAAGCCCCGCAGACAAATCACCTTAAAAAAAAAAAAAAACTCATATCACCCCGCACTTGACCCTTGAACCTGGCAAAGCGGAAAAAGCATAAGCTGGCTGCGGTTAATCAAACAATGATTTTTGTCTGAGATTGATCCTGTTGCGATATTGGCTCCTCAGACTCTGTGAAAAGCTTAAAGGGCTCCAGATAGATCTGTAATGCAGGTCAGGACCCCGTCCATTCTCCCCACATGGCTCCCCCTACTTCCTTCTTGTTCAGTCTTAATTGGCTGCCATCTGACCCAGTCTGTAGCATTTTTTTTTTATTCAGGACAAGCAGAGCATACAGTACCTCTTCCCAAAATGCCACTGATGTGAGGGGGTGTTCGCTACAGGTGGCTTGTGGAGCCAATAGATCCAAATCAGTCATTACTGAAGAGGGATTTTCATCGCTCACAGTGTATTATCTACCTGTGTATTATCCCCCGTCCACCTACACCGAAAGCTTGATGCCGGCAGAGCAGTTAACCATTATAGCTTTCCTACTTATTTCTCTATTCCTGTCATTTCTTCTTTGCAGCAGTTCTTGGACAAGGGTGGCAGTAACTTAGCAACAGACTGGAGAATAGGAGCAGGCTCATGGATAAAGATTCAATAAATGGACAAGTGCAGAGATAAGAAGCATTGTCCGCCTCTCTGAGCACCGCCTCATGCACACTCCTCCTAAGTTAATTTATGTGCAACAATTTGAGATTTCATCCAAGTTTCTGTCTTTTTTTAACCCCCAACGTCAAATAAATCAAACTTGGATCAAAAAGTGTCAACATGGGGTTCTCCTCGTCCCCCCCCCTACCACCGCAGATCTTAAATAATATAAAAAACATTTGACTTTTTCACGTTTTTTAAACATTACAACCATGAACTTATGTCTATTTCATCGAAATCCTAAATGACAGACCAGAATAACGAAGTTGAGGGAATATATATATGTATATATGTATGCATGTATTGTTTTTGCTTCTTTTGTATCCAGTAAAAATCTAAAACATGTGCCATGCAAATGAACTTTATTTTCTCTTTTAGATTACTTCTTCACGTTATTATAGAAGTATTAGAGAAATGGGAAAATAACCACATAGCTAATTATCAAGGGTTCAGTAGCTGATAACACATATCTAATGTTGTCATAATCTATTGAATTTTAAGTTCAGTTTGATTATGTTGCTTATTTTTATTCCATCTTGTGTTTCATTAATTTCTGTATTCTTGATCATTTGTGTTACTTTTCACAGTACCTCTGTTCTCTGGCCTTTTATACTTGATTTCTATTTGCATATTTACTCATCTGTGTTGCATCCAGTAATCAACTTCCTTCTGTAGAAACTCTTCAGTTTCAGTCACACAATGTTAGATTCACCTGTTGTCCATTTCATTGTCCATTCTGTTCCTTACAGTATCATTTTCACTCACCTCCTCCGGTCTTTGTCTCTGCATTTGGATCATCTACAACAATCATGACAAACATTTATAAGTGTAAAAAAGGAACATTTTTAAAGTTTTACACCAACCGTCTCTGGTTTTCTTTCACAGAAACTTCCAGGACATTTTCCAGGGAACGTGAGTTATTTAGGCTTTCGTGTTTTTCTTTTAAATTTGGGTGCTTAGCAGTTTCAGATTATCAAAGAAAATTTTTTTTTACTTCAGACAAGATAACTAACATAAGTACAAAATGTAATTTTTCAACTTTTTAACTCGTTTTTCCTAAACAATCGTCACATGCTGTTGGCGTTTCTGTCCAGTAGAGGGCAGAGCAGACACACAGCAGACATACGGAAACTCATGCAAAATGAAGGAAAGTCAGTTTTACACAAACTAAACCAACACCATCAAGTTGTGTTAAGACCATTTTAGGAGTTTTGGTCAATTCTAAGTTCGATTTCAAAGCAAAATAGTGGCTATAATCAGGGGGTGATCACTTTCCAATAATATCAACCTGTAATAGTATTAAAGGACAATTTTTGTAATAAGGGAGGAGGCCTGGAAATAGTTTATCTATATTTTCTGAGACGAGTGGTTCACGTTTATCTCCCAGTCCTAGACATGTTGCATCGTTTCTGCTGCTATTCGCCACATTATCATGATGAGAAAAATACTGACGTTTATCGCGTATAATTGTCAAAATAACAATAACATATAGTTACAAGTCTTAAACTTCTTTTGAATCTCCTACAGCCAAGACTTTAAAACTACTTTCACCCCTGACCTCGGCAGCTTTTGAGTTTATTTTACAAAGAAAAGAGATGATCGAAGTTTTCAAAGAAATGCCTATAAATAAACCCATGTACGTCCAGAATTATTATTTCATCACAAGTTGCCAAATAACCATAAGTGTGCCGAGATGCGTCTGAGCACGTCATAAAGGCTGCGGTTCCCCTCCAATCTGATGGGGGGAAGATCTTCAGACGCAACTCTAACAAAAGTCGAGAAGAGAACCAGGAACAGCGGATCTGGACGCTCTCAGCCATGGGTCACTTATTACCCTATTTAGTCCATCTGTTTCTCTTTGCGTCAAACGTTTACGGTAAGATATTTTTCCCTTTTTTTTTACTGCATGTAATTTCTTTGATAGCTTTCACCTGTTGAGGCGACTTGGCAATTGTCCGAATTTCAAATGACTATAATTTGTAAGCGTTTAAATTAATGGAACCCGGTTGCTGGCGGGTATGGTTATAAAACTTTGTCTTCTTAATGAGCATTAAAGCGGGGAAATAAACTTTTGGATGATTTAAACAGGGCGACAATGTTCGATGCTCCTAAACTCTTCCCTTTTCCTTATAAGGGAGTAAAAACAGCCGGGATGCTCTTCAGGGCGAGGTGATCTGCGAAAATCAGTGGCACCACAAAAACACTCCACTTAGTGGATATAATAAAGAGCTTTATTGGTTTGATTTCGACTCGGTGATGTTAAAACAGGGAAACAAAGTTACATCAAACTTTGTGGATCGACAGAATTGATTTTAAATTATTAAGACTCTGTAACTCTCCATGACTTTGTGAACAGCTGTATTTATTTATTTATTGCGACTCCACTCAACATGGAAGCTGATTTAATGTCACATATTGCCAAAGGAAAATAAAAAAGTATCTGGTCATTCCTCGAAATAATTAATTTAAATGTTTCAGATGATCTTTATTATCACAGATAAATAAACTCCAACTCCTATGATTTATGCGTTTACACATTCCAGCCTAGGACTCTGACAGGACGCCACACCTGTAACATGTCAGAACTCTAGTTACTTTACTAAATGTTCAACCGCAAAATTGTGGTATTATAACTGGTTTTTTTCTTGTCCTGTCCAGCTGTGCACATATATATATATATATATATATATATATATATATATATATATATATATATATATATATATATATATATATATATATATATATATATATATATACTGCTCAAAACAATAAAGGGAACACTCAAATAACACATCCTAGATCTGAAAGAATGAAATATTCTCATTGAATACTTTGTTCTGTACAAAGTTGAATGTGCTGACAACAAAATCACACAAAAATAATCAATGGAAATCAAATTTATTAACCAATGGAGGCCTGGATTTGGAGCCACACACAAAATTAAAGTGAAATGTTCCCTTTATTTTTTTTTAGCAGTATATATATATATATATATATAAAGACAGGGAAACAGAAAAAAGCAAGTGAGTAAGAGAGGTGGGGCGAAAAGTGTCAAGGAAGAGAAGGAGATAAGAACAGCTGAGAGAAAAAAATGGAGAAGAGAAAAATAAGACAGCATCCTCGAAGTCTGCTTCTACATCTGCAGAAAGAGAGAAGTGGTATTTTACGTAACTGTTAGCTGAGTCAGAGGAGACTGAGGTGCAATGAGCAGATATCGTCAATGTTCTGCAGACTTAATACAGTCACCCAAGCTTCATGTGGCTTTTAGACGACTTAAGGAAAAGGGAGGTTTGTGGAATGGGCTGTTGTGTAATTCAAAGCATGAGATGGATTGGGGTTAAGCAATGCACCATCAGACATTAGAGCAACAGAGACTTGTCTTCTGGAGTACAAATCATACCTGTCTGTCTAACCATCTTATGATAAATTTGTGTTTAGCAACTACCAGCTTTTGGACAAGTACATTTACTCAATTTTGTGGGGAAAAAATTGGGGATGGTATGACTGGCCTGCACAGAGTCCTTAGCTGCTTTAGAGCAGAGATTGTGAGCCAGTCTTTTTTTTCCAACATCAGTGTCTGATCTCACAAATGCACATCTGAAGAAATAGTCAAGATTTCTCATGGATATACATCTAAATCATTCCCAGATGATTTGAAATGGTTATGGTTCTAAATGTTGGCCAAACTCAAACTAAACCACTTTAGTAAGGATTAAAAATGGCATCTTTGTCTATGTGAAGACAGAAGAGCAAATACTTTTGACTATATGCTTACTGAGATACTAAACTGAAATATTATCATCATAAACAAAAATAGCCCAAATATAGACACTGTGAGATGAGTCTGATCTTCTTAAATATTTGATTGAAAACTTTTGCTTTCTCATTCATTTTTATCAGAACGTTTCTAAATATTCTTGAAGGGCAGTCGTTTCTAGCACTTGGTATGAATTCACTTCTTCTGTCACAGTTCCCCTGACCCCTCTGTAGAACGGCTGTAACCAAATATTTAATAGAGTCTCAGGTATTCATATGATTTCCAAATTTTGCACAAACCAAACCAATTTTAGGTGTCCCTAAAATTTCCAAAAAAAAAAAAAAAAAAAAATTGATTTTCAAGATCCAAAGAGCAGTTTGTGTTTTGTCCCCATATTCTCACGCATTTAATAAATTGGATGGATAAGAGGAGAAAACAAACCTTTTCAGATCTGTATGACTTTATTGATGGTTGTGCTTTAAATGTAAAATAATTCCATTGCTTAAATGTTTCTTTGGTTTTACTTTCACAGGCTCCAACATATGCACATCTCGTGGAGTCACCACTTGTCAAGAATGTCTTGTTGTTCATCCTAGCTGTGCATGGTGCTCTGATGAGGTACAGATCTACACCTTACCTTGCAACAAAGTTAATACTTTGCTGTTTTGTATGATGGATAAAACCTAAGTCGTGCATCGCCGTAGCACAGATGGAAAAGCACGTGTTATTTATTTCTGAATTTCTTCTTAATCCAAAAATCTGAAAAGTGTGGAGAGCTTTTGTGTTTAGTTGAGTCCCCTTGTCAAAATAGATGTAGGGGACAGAGGAAAGATCCAATGATATAAAGCAAGAAGTTTCTTGTAAATATGCAAAACGTTATATTGGTAGAAAACATGTGACCTTAATCCACCATGTACAGAGTGAAACATGGTAGTGTTAGCAGCACGATGTGGAAATGCATTACTTGAGAGTTGACAGGATGATGGACAGAGGCTGTAACAGGTGTGGCCAGATTATAGTTTAATTACTTGTTGCCTGATTGATTAGCTGAACATGGGAAAAAACTATAAATGAAATTATTAAATAGGTGGGATTAAAAGTTAGATCCATAATATGCAAATCTTCCCATCTGCTCCAGCTCCTCTGTATAAGTTCCCATCTGTCTCAGCCACTGCTCACACAAAGGATCAGCTCTTGGTCCATGATATCAGCACTCAGGTGTGTGTAGTAATGCACACACACACACACACACACACGTTAATCTGGATCCTGCATGCCTTATAAGCTTTGAGTTTAAGTCAGGGCCAAACAGTAAGAAATACAAGAAAAAGAGAATGTTCAGGATCACAGATTAATCCCTGCTTACGAGGCTTTTGGGAACAACTTTCAGGTTACAGTAACCAAAAAGAATATTTAAATAAATAAAAGCATAAATAGAGATCCCCTCCAGTTAAGTTAGAATAAAAGTCACTCTTCATAGCTTCATTTCATCTTGTTTGATTTTTGACTCTCAACACCACATATTGGACGCATCTGCTTTTCAGGTGTTTGGGATTGGAAGATCCAGTTTATCTCGCTGTGACCTCAAAGAAAACCTTGTTAAAGAAGGGTGCAGCGCTGCAGCTATAGAGTTTCCCACCAGCACCTTGGACATTCAACAGAACAATCCTCTCAGTGACAAGGCTTCGTCTACAGCTGTTGTAACTCAAATCAGGCCTCAGAAACTCCGCCTGGCATTAAGGATTGGTGTGTTGGTCTTAAAAGCTACACAGAAATGATAAAACATGCTGAGAAATGCACTGGAGCTAAACTTACCCTGCTTTCTTTTTTCACCCAGGTGACACCAAGCGGTTCACAGTGGCTGTGAAACAGGTGGAGGATTACCCCGTGGACCTCTACTACTTGATGGATCTCTCATATTCAATGAAAGATGATCTTTTAAAATTGCAAACCCTGGGCAACAAGCTTGCTGAAACAATGGGCAAAACTACCAGTAAACTGCACATGGGATTTGGTGCATTTGTGGACAAGACCACTTACCCTTACATGATTACCTACCCTAAGGAGGCAATTAAAAATCCTTGCATTGGGTATGTGGTATCATTGAATGTTTGCGGTTTGCATAGGAGATGAATTACAGTCATTAAGTTTTCTCTCTATAAGTGTGGGCAATGGAAGAGGCTTAGGGCCACCAAAAATAAATAAATACAATTAAATAAAATTCTGACTTGAATCTCTGAATTCTAACTTTAAACTCAGAATCAGAGTTGATTTTATGCACCAAAAGGAAAAATTGGTCTCAAAACTCAAACTTACCAAGCAAATTTGGAACAGGTTCTCGACGTGTATAAAGTGCAGGTTTACAAAACAAGGAAGAAACAGTTATGTGGTTATTTTCATATGATAACAACCTTATTAAAGAATGTTTGAGATTAGTCGGAGTCCTTTTTATTCTTTTTTCATTGGTCCTAATCCTCTTCCGTCAAGTTCAGACGTCTGGAAACCTGAATTTGAACTTTCTAACTTCCGTTCTGTGTCTCTATGAACAGAATTAACGACCAATGCCAGGCTCAGTTTAGTTTCAAGAACGTGTTGTCGCTGACAGAGAAGGTGTCTCGCTTCACTGAGGAGGTCCAGAAACAGAAGGTGTCCAGAAATAGGGATGGTCCAGAGGGGGGATTTGAGGCTATCATGCAAGCAATGGTGTGCAAGGTAAGATAAAAATATACTCTGCAGAGACTGTCGTTCAGACTTCAAAACTGTGATTAATTCGGCTTCGTGTCCGATATTTTTCTGCGTTAGGACAAGATCGGATGGCGTCCAGATGCCTCACATCTTCTGGTGTTGACCACCGACGCCAAATCTCACCTGGCCCTGGACGGACGCATAGCTGGCATCGTTCAGCCCAACGATGGAGAGTGTCACCTCGACGACAACAATTATTTCAACGAATCCACTGTGCTGGTATTTAAGAATAACTAAGGAGATAAACAAAAGTTGAACATTAAATTATGAACTATTGTAATCCCTGTGTTTTTCAGGACTATCCTTCCTTGGGCCTAATAACAGATAAGTTGTCTGAAAACAACATCAATTTAATTTTTGCTGTGACCAGTAATGTCGTACCTCTTTACCAGGTAAAAAATACAAATATTTTAATATTAAAAAAAAAAATAAAAATATTTATAATCAATATGTTATTATTTTTAGGAATACAGTCAGCTGATTCCTGGCACAACTGTGGGAACGCTATCTGTTGACTCTGGGAATGTCATTCAGCTGATTACAGATGCCTATGAGGTACAAGTATATTTTCATGGCAGAGGTTGTGCTACAAGTGTAATAAACACATTGCTGTAAAAACAAACAAAATTCCCACCTTTCTTCTCTTTGACATTTTTGTCACACTTCAGCGTTTCAGATCTAGAAAAAAAAAAACGCAAAATGCTAATGTGGCCCCACATGACGAGCAAATTGCACCCATTAATAACCCAGTCATTAACTGTATATAACAGCATTTTCTGGAAAGCTGAGTTTCATTGGCGACAACCAGGCCTGATTACTGTCTGTCCTGTGAAATCAAGGAATCAGTTAGATAATCTGACAGTATGGAGCTCTCTGAAAGATGTCTAAAAGCAGTACTCCGTACCTAAATCTAATGAAATTTATTTGAGAAACAAATACACTTTACATACACAATAATGATAAACTAACAGGAAATCCTTATGTGTGCAGAAAATTCGCTCTAAAGTGGCGCTGGAGGTTTTGGGAGTCCCAGAGGAGTTGGATCTCTCGTTTAGTGCTTCTTGCCTCAATGGAGAGGTGATTCGTGGACTCAGCTCCTGCTCTGGTTTGAAGATCGGGGACACAGTATGTATTATTTACAATTTTTTAGACTGTATACAGTACGTTGCATCAGTTTACCTGCATTTGTTTTTCTTTTATTAAATACATTTTTCTCCGTAGGTGTCTTTCACTGTGGATGCTCAGCTCCGCAGCTGCCCCAAAGAGAAGAGCCGCACTTTTACCATCAAACCTCTGGGCTTCAAGGATTCGCTGGAGGTGACAGTAGACTTTGCTTGTAGCTGTGACTGTGAGGCCAAGGCAGTACCCAACAGTCCAGTGTGCAGCAATGGCAACGGGACTTATGAGTGTGGAGTTTGCCAGTGTCACCAGGGCCGACTGGGTTCGCTCTGCGAGTGTTCGCAGGAGGAATATCATCCGGCCGACGATGCCAACTGCCTCCCAAATTCTAACAGCTCGATATGCAATGGGAGAGGAGACTGCTTATGTGGACAGTGCTCCTGCCACTCAGATGGGTCTGGTCAGATCTGGGGAAAGTACTGCGAATGTGACGATTTCAACTGTTTGCACTTCAAAGGAGCTCTTTGCTCTGGTGAGTATGTGCAAGTTTTCCTTTAAGTGTTTTAGTAAGATGGAGGAGTTGTCCTTGAAGTTTTTAACAATTTACGAGGTTGCCTTTACAGCTGACAGTCTTTTGGCAGATAATAGTGAGTCTAATTTACTCTTAGCTGATTGGTGTTGACTCATGGTTCACCCGTACGCTGGAATAAGTTAAAGAAATCAACCATACATGAATGGTCTTTTTGGGGACCTAGCCAGGTCACGATAAAGTTTAAAGGTTTCCTGGGCTATTGCCACATCCAGGATTGGTCCTAAAGACTCCAACCAGGGCCTGGTCCAGGGAAATAGGATTTGTTGTTGGATCATCAATGGGCTGCAAAACATCATGCATGCACAAACGCATACCAAAGGACATTTAACAGTCCCCAATAACTGGAATACCTTGAGAAAGGGAGAACATGCAAATGCTTTGCAGCAATAAACTGAATCTCATTATGAGTTGTTTGTGTGTAGAGTTTACATGTTCCCTGGTGTATCTGCTCCACAAACATGACTTTTTTTTTAGTCTATGTTGAGTTTAGAGATAAGTGTGGTTGTGCATGGTTGTCTTTCTGTGTGTTTCTGTATGGACTGGTGATCTGTCCATACTGTAAGGACAAGTGGGTATACACCATGAATGGATGGACACATTCTTGTCTTGCTTAGTCTATACAAAGTCAAAAGACACTACAGTCACAGCAGGTTCCACTCAAATTAACATTCATATTTTTAATGAGGATGGAGCCACCTGTAAAAAACTCACTCAGTCACTGGGAGAAACAACTCAAACAGAAGTTGCCTTAGCCTAGAATTTAAACATGATAATTTAGGTGAAAAATGACTGAAAATAATAAGCTTTTTTTTTCCAACTGACCCTAAGTTCTTTAAAGCATTACAATATTTACAGACTTCTAGCTTGATCTGATTAAATATTTCTACTTTTATCTCAGTAAAATTATGGAAAAACTTTTATGGAAAAAAAAAACTCACTGATTTATGTACTCTTATCTGAGCTGAGATTCTTTCTCTTCTGTAATCTGTAACCCTGTTGCAAAAGCCTTTAAACACACTTCCCCTAACCACACTCATATTTGAACATGGTACAAAATAGCATGGTGATATGTTGTATCTTAACCAATAATCTAGGTGATGTTTATCAGAGTGTTAAGGTTTTTTTGTGTGTGTCATTTTGGAGTTGTGTGAATCAGCAAAGATCTTTCTGCCCTTCCCTTCCTTTCCTTTGCCCCCTCCTTCGGTTTTAACTTCTTCTTTCTGCTCTGCAGACATAACTGGATGAGTTTACATCATTTTTTTCTTGTTACCTAGCTGGAAAAATCAAAGCGTTCACATTTCAAATGCACATGAAGTCTTTCCTTGTTTACAAATGCCTGTAAATAATTACATACCTACAGCAATTGAGTATATGACCATAAACAGCACAGCTCTTTGTCAGAAATCTCAAGTGTTTATGTGAGACTTCAAGTGTTTTGTTTTGGATAGTCAGTTGCTGGTGCCAGGATATGACTGTGTTCTTGCTAAAGAGCTTCATGTTGTGCTTTAACGCCCCATGACAAGTCTGCACAGCTCATTGCTCCGGAACTCAGCTAAAGACATAACTGTTGCATTTGTCTTCAGTTGATCTATTGCAATAGTTTGGGTATGTATGGGTTGAGTATTAGCAAATCAGGAAATTCCTCTTTGACTTCTCACAACAGCAGCTAGATTGTTTTGCTGATTTTCTGTTAGTGTTGAGAACATAAATTGTTAAGCATATTTAAGACAGAGTAACTATTTGATTTACAAAAGGAGTTTAATATCAATAAATAGCATTTAGTTGAGCCTGCAACCAAACAATCCCCAAACCAATTTCACGTAACATCAGCTAATTTTAATTAGAAACAAGCTAATGATGCTATGCTAGCCACTTGTTTACATTTTTTTTAAGCCAACCGGGGCTTTTCATTTTCCAGATCTCATTCAGAAACACTACTTATAAAAAAATTACATACTCACCATCATTTCATTAAATATGCAATGCCCAAATTATTAAATGAGTTTGACTGACTTTCTAATGTCTCAACTGCTTGTTGCACTTCCTATTGCTCATGAAATACAAACAAAATTCATGTGATTGTGGCTAAAAGGGATATTTTTAGCCATAGGAGCCCTGCTCCAATAATTCCACAGTCATAAATTTAATAGTAATAACTTTTAGTGGTCACCATCTCGACACCCCATAAAAAAACACTTGGATTTTATGTCTAAATCTCCGAACACCTAAATGAATGCCTGGCACATTTGACTGAATTAAGATTATCAATTCCCTTCAGTTAGTTCTAATTTAATATGTGGTTGTTTGATAGGTAATGTTGTAACAAGAGCTCTTTAAAGTAGCAGCTCTTGTCTGTGTTGAGCTGAGACGCTTCCTCAAACATGATGTCATCTTTTAAAGAGCCTCCACTAGTGAGTGGTCTTTGCTGACTTTTAGTGCAGCTCATTTACACTCACAAAGCTGCAACCAGAGGAAAACTATCCACTGTGCTTTGGAACAATGCATTCGTCTTAGTGTTATTATAATGCTTCCTTTATAGAGCCTGTGTCCCTCGTTACCGCTTCAGCTCTTGGCTCAGGGCGAAAAGAAAACATCATTGATATTTTTTTGAGGCAGTGTATTTTTTCCATCGCCGAGGGCAGTGGGACAGAACAGGAGAAAGCACGCATTGCTCCGGGGCGCGTAAATATGAGGAAAGAGAGAGCAGGAAAGTTTGCATTCCGCTGCAGGGAGCTCCTCTCCTCCCTTTCTGCAGAGTGAAGCTCTGTTTTATTGCCCCCGTCTGTTTTCCTGTTCTTCTCTTTTGTTTTTTTGTTTTTGTTTTTTTTATAGTGACAAAGCTCTTCCTTAAATTTCTTCAAAATCGCAGTCTTTAAACTTCCTTTTAAGTGTAGCACTGTTTTGCACAAAAACATGCATTGACTTTTTCATGTGACAGTTCTGGTATTGTCTGTATTGCTTCTTAATCTCTTAATTGTTATGTGGAAACAGCACGCCAGATGAGGTGGTGGCTCTGTTTAGAAACTGTTAACCACAGTCACCACAGGTAACCATGAGCATAAAAAAAACACTGAAGAAGAAGCTGCAGTAAATAGGGTGTAGGCGCTGTTGTTTTGTTACGTTTACAGCAGAGGATGGTTTCTCTTTGAGCTGTTGAATCAGAGACCCTTGGACTACATGTAACATTCCAGGATCAGTTACTTCCTCCATTGTGATCCAGCTGCACTGTGACTCACACACATTATCCAGAAAGAAATCCTGTTTGACCAACCTTCAGTCACCAGATCATGGCCTAACGTCCTGATGCAGTGTCTGCCATTGTTCACCAAGAAAAGCTGACTCCAAGATTCTGTCAGCAAATAGCTGCCGCGCTGCAACAACACTTTGCCCTTCTTATGCTTCTGCGCTCTGACGGTGCATTTCATATGACTACCTGCCCAATAATGAGCTTAGAATGAGTAACAACAACAACAACAAAAAAAACCCACGCGACGAATTTTATGAACATGTCTTTTTCCAAGTGGAAACAATTAGCCAGCAACTTTTTAAACAGATAAAGGGAAACTCATTAAAATGCTGATTTTTCTTTGATTTATGGAAGAACTAATTAATTACAACCAGTATCTTTGTTGTCTTTCACAGCTGAAATGACAGTTAGGTTCTCTTTGTTACTAATTGGTGATTATAGTATTACAGATTCAACTAAAACATCGTTCGTTGGTCTTCACGTTTGCTCATGCAACATGTTTTCAAAGACACACAGGAAAGAAGCTCATTAACACAAAAAACAATAAAGCTACACTCTCAGACGTCTGAGAACACTGCAGTGACTAAACCCTAATTTCTTGATGGCTCAGCCCTGTTCAGAGCCACAAGTGTGTATTAAGAAATGTAGTAATACATAATCCAGCACACTTAAATACAGGGTACTTAAGAGAGTCGGTGATTAACTTTACAATTAAGCAATTTGTATTTCGTAGGTTTGTTTGTCGAGCCTCACCCATGAGATTAAAACTTAAAATGGGCTAAACGTAGTGTAGAACAGCCCATGGAACGTACTGCTACTGATAGGTGAAAATGCAAACAGATCAGAGTCAGGAAGTAGATAACCATACCGTGCTATTTTTAGTGTTCCTTCTAAAACACGACAAGTGATAGTTCCGGCGGTGCTACACATAAGAGTCTGCAAAACTTGTGAGGAAACATGAAAAGCTTAATTATAAAGGACTGTTTACAATTACACATGCTAAATTGCTTCCATTTTGTAATAGGGAGTTTTGAAGAATTTCCCCTCCTTTCGTTTTGACTCACTGACTGCAGAGGAAAGATATGGATCACTTCCATCCGTTTGGCTGTTTCTGTGCAGCAGCCATTTCCCGATGATGAACACACATTTACTGTAATTTAATGTCATGTTTTCCTCTTTCTCCCATTTTAAGTGGATACTGGCATTTGTGTCAAATTGTATGTATGGATCAGAGTAAAGAAAGACATGTTTTTTTAATTACAAGATCCTGGACCGCACACACACACATACATTAAGTATGCAATAGTTAACTTTATTTTATAGCTGTTACAAGAGTCATATATCTGTGTAGCAACAGATATATATATATATATATATATATATATATATATATATATATATATATATATATATATATATATATATATATATATATTTTCCCCTGCTGAAAATATATATAGATGTATATAAATGTACGTATAGAGCTGTGAAAATGTATTTTCCCTGTGATAGATTTTCTTCTACTTTTTTCCCACCATTAAGACTTTAACATCATCGAGCGCCATGATAACCTGAACCAAATTCTGTTTTGAAATTAAGGTTTTATTTTAAAATGAATTCAAAGTTAACCAATTTGTGCTAGTGCTGTGTGAAAACATAAAACTAATAGCTGGTTGTGCCACTCTCCGGGGACAACAACTGACATCAAATGTTTTTGCTCGCTGGCAGTGAGTCTTTACATTGCTGTGAAGGAATTTTGATCCACTCAACTTTGCCCCGTTGTTTTAACACAGGCAGATTGTTGGGTTCCTTGTCGTTAATGGTCTATTTAATGTTTACAATGGATTGGAGCCAAACTGTATCTGCTGCTGCCAAGAAAAAGCAAGATGTCTTCACTGTTCACACAAAAGCAGAATGAACTCGCAGATGAACCAGAAATAAAATGGCGTCAAAAACATATAGTTATTTTGACAAATTAGCTAAAGTAATTTCAGCTCATCGAGCTGACTTGAGCTGACGCGTCCGTTTCTGTTTCCCTCAGATCACGGGAAGTGCAACTGTGGGTTCTGCCAGTGCGACGCTGGCTGGAAAGGAGACAACTGTAACTGCACCACCCGCACAGACACCTGCGTGTCCAGCTCAGGGCTGCTGTGCAGCGGCCGGGGTAACTGCGAGTGCGGGGTTTGTCAGTGCACTCAACCCGGCGCCTTCGGAGACACGTGTGACAGGTGCCCCACCTGCCCTGACGCCTGCACGATAAAGAAGTAAGTAAATCTACTAAGCTCTACACTGGTTTTTGCCATAACATCTCTAAATCTATGAGTTATATATGTGGCCATTGTGTTGTTGCTGCATGAATATCACAGATTGGTTTTTCATTCGCAACATCGTTGCTCTTTGGATTTCGACTTGCTTACGGTGCCCTGTGCATATTTATTTTTATCTTTTACTTATTTCTCGACACCCAACATGGAAATGAATATAAACTCTTGCACAACATAGGTTGCCATTTTAATACCTCTGTGATAGCCTGGATTTCCTACCATATGCTGCAGCTAAAACATTGGAGTTTAAACCGGCTGTACTGCATAAAGCTGAAGGTGTCCTATTATTGCTTGCAGGCAGTGTGTTGAGTGTCAGCATTTCAAAAGAGGACAATACATCAGTGACAACAGCTGCAACAGAATCTGCAAAAATGAAATTCAAATTGTGGACCAGCTGAGTCAGAAAATGGATGGGAATGTGGGTGAGTGCCGAGAACTCTCTCTGGTCCCATTTTTCACGCGACCCTGGTCTGTTGTGGTCGTGTCGTGTTGTCGCATTCCTTCACTTTGCATGAATTTCACCCGATTACGGTTGAACTATCTTGCTGACCTACACAAATCGCTGTTTTTAATGAAAAACTTTGTCTCACGTTGTTATTTTTAAATGGTCCTGTTCTTTTCTTTTTCTTTTTGTCTCCTGGTAGAATTCCAACAACACACTGCGGTGAACTGCTCCTACAAAGACGAGAACGACTGCATCGTGCGCTTCCAGTATTATGAAGACAAAACTGGCAAATCTATCCTGTATGTGGTGAAAGAGCCAGGTACTGTGAAATATTTTTAGTGTTTATTAGGAATTTAAGCTGTCAGAGAAACAAAATTAGTATTTAGGTACGTGAGGACAGAAGATCCTGATGTATCTCTGGCTAGGCACATTGTGTGCATTTAGGAATGCGCTATTATATAAAGAACACCTCTCAGAGTTGGTCACACAGCTAGATGGTGCAGCGCCACAATAATGAGAGAACACAAATGGGAATCTGAAAGTTTCTGAAAGTATCTGTTTCTCAGAGTGTCCCGAGGGTCCTGACATCCTAGTGGTGCTCTTGGCGGTGGCCGGGGCCATTCTGCTCTTGGGTCTTGTTGGTTTGCTCATCTGGAAGCTGCTGGTTACCATCCATGATCGCAAAGAGTATGCCAAGTTTGAGGAGGAGAGATCCAAAGCCAAATGGGATACGGTAAGCATCAAAGATGCCAGACCGTGTAGAACCTCCCAACTGACAAACACACTTTTGAATCAAGTTCATTTATTTTTTCGTGTTCCAGGGTAACAATCCTTTGTACAAAGGAGCCACTTCCACTTTTACCAATATAGCGTACAGAGGAAACTAAGGTCCGGATCCGGCGAGGAAATAATTCAGGGGTTGACGACGTTGATGGAATGGGAGGAAGATCTTTTACACTGTCATTAGACCGGCTACTGATGTGTTGCTGTCAACAGTTCAACGTGATGATTCTTCACAATGTAAAACATTACAAACTATTAATATGAGTCACAAGCTGTTTGCTCTAAGGCTTTTTGGTTTTTAGAAGGGTAAGTTTTCTGCATATTTTATAAGGACTATGTTAAACTCAAGCTTTCAAGTTGCACTTAAGTGAACTGCTGTTTAAATTTTCCAACATGTGTGTTTATTTTTAGGAAGGTGTTTTCATCTCTACTGTAGTTTTTAGGAGTTTTTTTGTACTTCTGTTGTGAAAATTGTTGTTGGGCAAATTGAATGTAAAACTGCGATGTTTAATTATTAAACCTCGTTTCTGTTGCATTTATGTATTTGGCTTACACTGATGCCTGGGGTATGGATTGTATTATAAATATAAACCAGTGGTGGTGCATCATTCATGCATGAACAGCTTTTTTTTTTTCTTTTTTTTTTTTATTATGTTTTGCGTTTGCACAAATGCGTTGCTCAGCGCATTTTAAATTTATATTATATTTAGTATTTGGGCGTTTTACATTTTTTAAAGTTTATATTTAAAGAGCCTTTGGGTAATTTAAATGGGACGTAATGCTACAATCTCTGGTGCATTTTGGTTTCATGTCTGTCCTTTGCACAATTGAAACTGCTTTCTCACTGATGCTTTTTCACTGATGTTTGACAAGAGTTTTTGTTACATTTAGGAAACTTGTAGCATTTTGTGACTCATAAGATGTTCTTTCTAAAATGTCAGAGAGATTTTTTAAGGATCAAACACTAGATGATCTTTAAGACTCATATTTGTCATCCACAGCGTCTTAGAAAAGAAATAGTCAGATTCTGTTTGTTTACTTAGTACCAATAAATGCTTTTGGGGAATTCTGAAAATGGATTCTTCTTTATTCATTCACTTTGTTCCTGTTGTCTAAAATGTGCCTATTTTCAACAACATTCACTCAACATGCTGCATCACTTTTGTCATTTTTTTAATGCTTCCTGCTCCCTAAGTCTCTGCTTAGATGACAGCATTCACATGCCTGGACTGTCTTGATAAATCGGATACAGACTGATTAAACTTCCTCTCCATTAAAAACTCTCAGTGCTGTCATCATCAAGTTTGACAGTAAGGAAGTACAGCCACAACAAAAATGGCCAGTCTGTTTTATAATCAAGCTGACTGTGGATTGGTTCTAATAATTTGTTGTTTATGAATACCCTATTGCGTACTTTATTCTGTTGTGTAAACAAAACTTATATCTATAAAACTCTCTCAAACACATTGTTGAAAGTTATTTCTTTGAACTAGACCCTAAAAGTATTGAAGTTTAAGAAGAATATGCACATTTTTAGTCATTGCGAAATAGCTCATGCTACTAATAACTAATGTTTAGTATAATGTCAGATATTAATCTAAAATTGTACAACAGGTTTTAATAGCAAAAAATATCTCCTGAGGAAAACAAGATAAATTTTCCTGGAACAGACTTGCCAACACAAACCGAGACGTGTAGGTATCTACAGGGAAGAGAGAAAATAATCATCTTTAATATTATTAAAGAACTGGCGTTGGAAATATTCTCAGTATATGTCTCCCCCTAGTGTAGAAAAAGTGCTAATGCACACATTATAGTTTTCCTTAGCGTGTAAGAAAGTAACAATGCAATCAAAGATGTTTATTCGTATTGCACAATTCAGACTCAAGGCAATGCAAAGTGCTTTGCAGGAAGGTAAAATAACATACATCAATAGAAATACATTAAAAATACAAACTATATTAACAATAAAAACATATCATGAGAAAGAAGCACAATTTTTGACATGAAGCAATTTACTCAGACAATATTTTTAAAGTGATAACTGATTTATAAGAAGACTAATTCATGAAATTCCTATCTGAGTTCATCAAACTCTTGTGTCTTTTGGTTGCTTTGTGGACTGGACTATTGCTCCGTGGTCCAAGTTTCTCTTTTCAGAATAAAGTACATTTTGCATTTAATCTAAAAATCAAATTAGAAGAGTGAAGGTTCACAGAATCCATATTTATTTATTTATTTTTGACTGAAATGGCTCTCCATACCTGTGCAATGTTAAAAGCAATGTGCTTTTTTAACTGATTAATATGAACTATCAGCATATTTCAACCCTTGAGTATCTTTTCCGCTTGTCCCTGAATGCGTCACTCCCTTCTGCGTCAGATCCATCATGGCGGCGCCCCGCACCGTGGACGGAGTGGAGGCTGAAAACACTGAAATCAGCTTGACACTTTCAAATTCTTCCTCTGAGGACACCAAAAGGCCTCAGTTCGGGACACGCTTCCTTACAGACCCGCGGCAGGTCTTCCAGCACAACGCATGGTCGGTACCACAGACCCAAACAGGATGGAATGGGATCATGTGTATCTTTTGAGTGGAGGAGACTTTTTCAGCATTATCTTTAGCTTTGGATCGTTGAGTTCAGCATTTGTAACGTTGCGATATTTTGTTTATATATTTTTGTAATTTTCTTTACTGCGTTCAACCAAGCCGACATTTAGAAAATAACGACTGTTTTCTCATAAAATTACTTTTCCCCTCTACTGTGTGCATTACGGTAAAGGGGGCAGTACGGTTGCCCGTTGTTAACGTAAAAAGTTCTGTCGATTAGAATGAAAAGTACGGAAATTATTTTAAGAAATTAAAATAGAATTAAAAATAAGATAAATAAGACATTTTTAAATGTCAGAAAATATCATTATCAACTACTTTGGTCGTATCTCCACAAATCAAGGTGACAGTAATAAAGTTGCCATATTTGATGGTTAGCCAATACATTTTCAAAATCATTCCTTGATCAAATAAATAAATATAAACTTTTTTTTCATCTATGAAGGTGAAAGCAGTGGGGTTCAGAGTGAGCATTCATTATGTACTTTACCTTAATGCACGCTGTACGGGCGAAACTACTATTTTAAAAGATAGTTGTTGATGCCACTAATGCAATTGTTAAATTCTGGGTCAAATCTGCATAAAGATATGTTAAAAAAAAAAAAGAAAAAAAAAAACATACAAATGAAGCCTAATATACTACATCAAAATATCAGACACAATTTCTTCACGGTCAGTCACTTTATTATTCACAAAGTTGGGATAATAATGTTTTGTGGTCTCCAGGGACAATGTTGAGTGGACTGAAGAACAGGAAGAAGCTGCAAAGAAGAAAGTTTCAGAAAACAATCAGCCTTTGCCTCTAGAAAAACAAGGTTAGACTGTAACTTTGAAAATTAATATATTTTATATTTGTATATTAGAATTAAATCATGATTTTTTTTATTATTATTATTATTATACTGGCCTTTGAGAAAGCAGACGTGTGTTATGTTGTAGGAATGATGCTTTATTTATTATTTTTAATACTAGCTTTTCTGCCTTTTACTTCCAGAGGAGTACAACAGCCGGGCCAGTGAATACTGGAATGGGTTTTACGCGATACACGAGAATCACTTCTTTAAAGACCGTCACTGGCTCTTCACAGAGTTTCCAGAGCTTGCCCCACAGCGCAACCTGAACCACGAATCTCAGCCAAACAACTCGGCCGTGGACAGCAGCCATCAGGACGGATGTGAACAAAAACAATGCAGGGATTTTGCAGCTTTGTCTGGTGACAACTGTGCCTTTCCAGGCTCCTCTGCCACATATCGCATCCTGGAGGTTAGAGATCATTCTAGCAGCAAGTTGGTCACATTTTAACCGTATAAATGCTTTAAATGTAGTTTTATTTAGTTCAGGAAACTGTCCGATTTTTTTTTTTTTTTTTTTTTTCAGTGATGTTCTGTAGATTTAAACACATTCTTAAAATAATGGGCTTGAATAATAAAACCCATGTCCCTTTAAACAGAGTCTAGGTGTGTTTTAGACTCTGTGTCTAAAGAGTCTAGGTGTGTTTTAGATGCATGGGACACATGCATCACATGTGTCCCATGTGATGCATGGGACACACAGAAAACTTTTGGAAGAAGTTGTTATAACCTGTATATTATTCAGCTTTTATTGCATGAACTACAAAAATGTAGAAAAGCTTACCTTTAATTTTGAATTTTTTCAGTGGGAGAAAACATTTTTTGAAGGGAGCTCCAGAAAACTAGAGGGCATGCCATCATTTGCAACTGCTAGAAAATTAACTTTTTTTTGTTAGTGGGTGTTTTGGCAGAATAATGATCCAAAACATATGGCCAAGAATACCAGATCCACCTTCTACCATGGCCATCTCAGTCCCCTAAACCCAAATCCTGTTGGATGAGCGGAAAGGAAGAGCACGTAGGACTCAGGACCTGGAAGGAACCAGACAGATTTTAAAGATCCTTTCCACTCTATGTTTCCAGTCTTGTAAAATGTTTCTCAGAAGTGTCAAAATTGTGATATTTTTTTAAGATTAACTCTGAAAAGCCATCTAACAAGTTGAAATATGTGACCATCTTTTAAACATTAGACTTCTCCCACTAACTGAATGTAATCCAATTGAAATTATGATTTTCTTTCTTGTTATTTAAGATTCTCTAAACATTCAAACAGAGCCCAATTTGTTCCCATTATTGCATTTGTTCCGTTTGAAATGGCTAATTCTCCTGAAACATAACATCATTTCTGTGCAGGTTGGTTGTGGTGTGGGCAACACAGTTTTCCCAATACTCAAGACCAACAAGTAAGAACACACAAGAAAAAAAAAGTTGCATCGTGTCTGAAAAAGACGACGCCTCACCTTTTGCAGTCTCTATAACTGCAGCTTTGCCTTCTGCAGTGACCCTGGACTTTTTGTTTACTGCTGTGATTTCTCCAGCACTGCTGTGGAATTAGTGAAGGTGAGCCGTTTTGACTCACAAAAGAGCAGTTTCTTCTGATCTTCAGCATGTACGTGACTAACTCAGAGTTTCTCTCGTCATCAGACTAATCCAGAGTACGATTTGAACCGCTGCTTTGCCTTTGTGCACGACTTGAGCGACGTCGAGGCCAGTTTCCCCATCCCTGATGGATCCCTGGATGTTATCGTGCTGATCTTTGTGCTGTCGGCTCTGCATCCCGACCAGTACGAACGGATATTGCTTTGCCTAGTTTTGCGCTTTAATTTTTGCGTACATCTTTAGCATATTGCAGACACTGTGTAAGTGTTCCCCTCCCTCCCCCCATCTCAGGATGCAGGCCTCCATCAGTAGATTAGCAGGTCTGCTGAAACCAGGTGGTGTGATGCTGCTGAGGGATTATGGACGCTACGATATGGCACAGCTGCGCTTCAAGAAAGGTCAGTCAGGTTGTGTCAAGGTTCAAAATGTCTAGAATTGCTAAAGATTTCTGTTCTGCTGGGAAGAATTTGCTTAAAATGAGTCACACTCTTGTCATAAACTGTTAGCAATCAGTAATACAAAACGTCACTGTAAAATTTTAGGTCTCTTTAGGACTTTTCTGAGCAATACCTATACCTGCCGATCCTTGCAGCCAAACCTTGAAATGTTTAACCGTTTCATCTTTTTAACTGTCTGTGTTTTTGATTTTTCCTTAGGGAGATGTCTGTCAGAAAACTTTTATGTCAGAGGGGACGGAACACGTGTTTATTTCTTTACTCGGGGTATAAATGACTGGTTTTACAGTTGTGGTTTTTTTTTTTTTTTTTTTTTACTATTATTAATATTATCCCTTACTGATTCATTCTTTCAACATTAATATGATCACATTTTTGTGCCTTTCTTTGTTTTAGATGAGCTTCATGAGTTGTTTTCAGAGGCTGGGCTTGAAAAAGTGCAGAACCTTGTGGACAGGCGGCTGCAGGTGAACAGAGGGAAACAGCTCACCATGTACAGGGTTTGGATCCAGTGCAAGTACCGCAAGCCTTGTTGAGAAACAAGGCGAGACGAGAGGAAAAATCCCACCTAAGCTGACAAAGATTACAGCTGTTTCCAGAAGACATGTGGAACAATGGGATCATGGAGTTTTTTTTTTTTTTTTTTTTTTTTTTTAATTGGGTGAAAAAACCCTGTTGGGCTTTTTTTTTTTTTTTTTTTTTTTGGAAAAATGCCCTTGGTCACCAAATTGATGACTTTTCTCCTGATGAGTTGCCTAATCTGAAAAAGAACTGGTAACCGCTGTAAAGAGACTGGTTTTAATTAGCAAATTTTTCAAAATAAATTGCATGACTTTTTTGTATTTGACATTTTTTGTACATGCTAAATTAAAACCCAGTACTGAAAAAGTCTTGCACATTTGAAATAATTTTATGCTATGTCTGCAGCACAGTTAGGATGGGAAGTTTCTGATTAATTTATCACTAGTGTGGGGGTGGGCACTGCTAAATTTCATTGTGTGGAGGGGGTTTTGTTATTGGTCCGGACAACAGATTTTGGGGCAGGCGTGGACTGAAGGAAGGTGAAACTACTTGAACGATCTCACGAGAAAATATGAGATTTTCCTGATTATTGTTTACATTGCAAAAACGTGAGATCCGAACCGAAATGATCCGGATTCAGCTGAAACGCTTCCAAAAGCACAACTTCCGAAAACAGATGTCGTTTTGATCCTTTTTGCAGCTCGGAAGGAAACTGGTGTCGAACTTTGTTTTGATCGAGCTGAAAAGCCAGCACCCTAAATTCACCGCACCACTGGGGGAGACAAATATAGGGGGTAACTACACTAGCTCAAAGACATTATTTATACCTGCCGAAAAGCGCAAATTCTCCAGGGTCGCCATTGTGTGGAGCGAGATACACCAGACCACAGTGCGGTATGACCCTCGGAGCGAGGGACATGATGGGGATCCCCGCTTAAGGAGCGCAGAAAGGCGGGTTTGGGAGACCCGGAGTTTTGTCGAGGCCTCCGCCGGAATCCTCCGTGGTCTACCTGAAGCTGCTCAGCGGGCGTCCGCGTCTCGATCGTCAACAACCAGCACGCGAGGGACGTGGCTTTGGATGCGGCCTAGTCTGGGAGGGTCTGCCGAGCACCGGTGAGACAACGCAGACGGTTTCAGCGACAACAGCCCCAGAAAACTGAGAAAATCTTAACTACAGTGAGTATCTGAACGGGCTTTCAGACAAAAGATTTTCGTTTGAAGGATGTTTTGCTCCAGTGAGCCCAGATGTCGTGGCAGATGATGCTTATTTTAGGGATAACCCTAACCCATTGGAAACCTAACGCCTAACGGTCAGTATTTAGGGAATGAAATTGCTTTGTGTTTTAAGTATACTTGGATGAGAATTTGTCAAAACATTCTTTTCTTGCTTAGGTTTACCCTTTTAAAGAAATTCAATCTAAACATCATTAGCTAACTGTTAGCCGCTTAGATTGCTAACTGATGGTCAGCATCGGTAGCTTCTTCACTCGTTTGCCTAAAGTTAGCTAACCGATATTTCACTAATTGTGCTCAAAATTAATACTTTACTTATTTTATTGCACGTAAACAAAGATTTTTACTATTTACTTATAGAATCTATACCTTAAATATATTTACTTATAGATGCAAACTGTAGGTAACAGACACACATAGCAGCCAGTTCTGGGCGTGTAATTTTAAACCTTCGCACCGGTCAGCAAACTGGCCACTTATTGTCCTTTGTGGCCTTTTCCCCATTGCTGTGAGTGTTCCTTCGCAGTCCCTCCATTGCTGACCTTTTATAACAGCGCCATGAAACTTAGGCCTGTCATGTCAAGGCGTTATCAAGTGATTCCATAAATTTCCAGGCAGTGACTTTACACATCTGGCCTGTCTGTGATGCATGTGAAATATCAGTATTTGTTTATAGTTGCTATGTACTCTTGGTGTCTTGCTGAACAGCAGTTAAGTGGCTTTTCCTTCATGGATATAAATATCAAACATTGCCAAACTTATTGATGACTCAGAACAGGAATTTTCCACATCCATATAGCTAAACACAGCCATGACTCATCACAACCAGTGTCTTTTGAAACTGTCACCCTTCTTCCATCTGAATATTCCAGGCTCTTGAATGCCTTCCTTAATTTGTGCTCTTGTCTCCACAGCCATGATGGAAGAACTGCACAGCCTGGACCCCCGGCGACAGGAGCTGTTGGAGGCTCGCTTTACGGGGGTTGGAGTGAGTAAGGTTCGTATGCAGCAGATGTCACAAAGGTTGAGCTGAGGAAATGCTTCTCTAGTCACAGATTTATATGATTATGTGTCATTGTTTTACTTTACCCCCATTATCAGTCTGATTTTTTATTTTTATTTTTTTATTACATTTTTGTAGCCCGAACAAGCTTGGGCTCCTGCCTTTTCTTTGTCTCCGGAGAAGCTTGAGCCCGTGTCTGTGTTTTTTGGCGGCTTTGACATGGCATCGCTCCCTGGCTTGTGATGTAGCGGCTGTATATGCGAGCGGCTGCCTCTGCCAACAAGGCCACAGACATTGACGGGGTTGGTAGGGGGCAGAGGAAGAATGCGGAAATAGTTTTTGACCAGGTAGAATGAGAGGTGGCTTTTTTTTCTTCTTCTTCTTCTTCTTCTTTTCCTCCCCACACCCTCGCTACGTAGATGGAGCTGTCAGTCTTAGAAGAAGGTGATCTTGGAACAGTTAGGGAGCCGGAGTTGGTGCCAAGAGCAGGCCCTGTGCCAACCATAGGCAGAGCTGAGCTCAGAGCATGGCATGGCTGCTGCCGCAGAGAAAATGGCGACGCCTGCTAAGGCATCATGCCACAGTCGCCCTCTACTAGATGGGTGAGAGTGAAGACGTATGGTTTGGTGGTCCGATAGCTTCTTCAGTGTCACAGGGTGGCTTATCTCTTCCTCCTCGACCTTGAATAGCTCGATGGCGCTGCCGTTCTTTGTGTAAAGCACTGAGTCAGCAGAAAAGTTAAGGACAAAGGGATCAAACGTCTTTTGATAAACAGGCAGATGTGGCGTACAGTGTCTGCTGAATGCATGAACAAACAGCCACAATAGTTTTCTTTTTTTACTTGTTTTATTTAGATTTTTTTTTAAAAAGCACTTTCTTGGTGGTTGCCTTTTTAGAAAAAAAAAAAAAAAAAAAAAAGAGAGTGATTTGAAAATGCGGTGAGGAGAAGGAGGAAACATGGATGACATTTTGTAAAGGTGGCAGATGGAGCGAGGAATGGATCCCCAGCAGCTTGCCTAATGTTCAGCCATTTTAGGAGGGTTCAGCGAGGAAGCTCTAGTGTGCTCAGAATGACTAAGTGTCTCGCTCTGATTGGACAGCGCCTGCTGAATTCTGATGTGAATCATTTGATTGACAGGCATCACCTAGGGAACCGGCGTTAGTACCGATGCAGGTCTCCACACATTTGGGATTTTATGGTGATTGCGTGTAGCCAAACCTCTCCATCACCATTCTTGTCTCTCAGCGTTTTCACCGTATGTTTTCGTCTTCCTTTTCCCACAAGTTCCCACTTGTTGAAAGTAGTAACACATGGACATACGTCGAACATTTTTTTATGTGCATTTAAGTCCTTCCTTTCTTCTTTTTTTTTCTTCTTTTTGTCAACAGGGCTCAGGTCAGAGTCAGAATGAATCATCCAATCAGAGTCTGTGCAGCTTGGGTTCACTTAGTGACAAAGAGCTGGAGGTTAGTCTCTCTTGCATATTGACTGGATTTATTTGTGTTGGACCCTTCCTTTTACCCCACCTCACACACACACGGTGTGTTTATGCTGCTTTCTTTACAGACTCCAGAGAAAAAGGCGAACGAGCAGAGAGTCAGAAAACGCAAAGCGGACCACTTTGACAGCAGCCAAGGTACAGTAATCCCCACTTACGACCCTTTCATCATTTCTTACACGTTCCCTTTTATTGAGCCCTCCTCTTCTCTTCTTGTAGGCAAAGCAGGAGCGAGGGGGCTTAAAATTAGCGATTATTTTGAGGTGAGTGCTCCTGTCGCATTGGATTCACCCGTATAACTTTTCGTTCCTTCATTCTAACCCCGTCTTCACTCGCCTTTCCATTTATCTTCTTTCTTCTTTTCCCCGTGTGTCAGTTTGCGGGAGGTAGCGGTCCTGGTACCAGCCCTGCTAGGGGAATTCCACCAGTGGTCCGCTCTTCCCCACAACACTCTCTGTCCAACCCTCCCGTCACGGTGAGCGTTGTTTGGCTCTGTGGTGCTTTTCTTGCCTTTTTTTATTCCACAACGCTCTTCCTTTTCATTCTCTTTATTCCATGCTTGTTACTAACACCAGCGGGTGAGGTCTGCTCACGAGTGAGAGGAATCAGATGTGTGTTCACATGTTCTAGTGGTCATTAAATAGATGATTGATTTAAAATTTCCTACTAAAAAAGACATACATTGTGATATGCTTCGTGGTGACGTATTCCACCAAATCCTGATGAATTATTAAAGTGAGGGCGTTTTGTTTTCCTTTCACAGCAAAAGTGAAACGTCTTCATTGAACAATGTTTCTTCCTCCCAGGTGCAGCAAGGAAGCCCTTCGTCCATCAGCTCTGTCAACATGGAGCTCTCCACATGTGCGATGAAGCCCGTCGTCCTTCACATGCTCCACAAAACTACACAGGTACATCACACACACTAATTGGATGCTAACTACCTGTTTGTGTAATTAACTTGATTGTAGTTTACGAGAAGTCGCATGGTTGGCATAAACAGTGAATATACTCGTGTCTAAATTTTTATTTATTTATTTTTTTTTTTTCACATTTTGTCGCCCAACAGCAAAACTTCATTGCATTTGTTGGAAACTTGTGCGACAGAATCTCATAAAATAACGCATAATTGTGAAGTCTGGGAAGTTATACGTGGTATTAATCTCATGTTTCCCAAATGAAGATCTGATAAGTGCGGCTTGCATCTGTATACTTCTTGCTGTCTATGTGCTTTCTAGAAGCGTCTCTCGCTGCAGCTGCAGGTTCAAGTTTGTTGAAGTATGTCTCTTATCAGCTTTGCACATCTGGAAACTGGATTTTTTTTTTTTTTTTTTTTTTGAGCGAAACCATTCCAATGTGAGAATTTCATTTGATGGAAAATTTGTCCCAGGGTGGGGTCAAATGGGTTCGGCTTGGATTCCTCAACAAATTATTGATATTTTGGAAGATTTTTTTTTTTAAATGATGGTATAACTGATTACAAAATGATTTACATTTTGGTAAGTGGTTTTAAGGATCTTCGGCTCAGGATTTGTGGCAATAGAGATTATAAATCCCAACTTGGGGAACATTTTGTTCCCAAATGTCTGGATGGTAAAATTGAAACAGATGAATCTATGAAAATCTTTGCATAAATGGGAGATTTGTTTCAACCCTGAAATTTTTTTCTCTTGTTTAAAGATGAACCATCAACCCAAATTATTTATTTTTCCATTGGAATCAATCAAGTATTTTTGAATTAAATTAAATTGTATCTCATGTATTTTGCCGTCCCTATAGGGGTTTCCCCCCAGGATTGCCTTGTGTTTTACTCCGTCTGTTTTCCCCTCAACTCCTGTCCATGCTGAAAAAAAAAACCCTCTCTCAAAGCATGATGCTGCCACCACCAGGTTTTTCAATATGCAAAACATGTTTGACATTCAGCTTTGGCATTCTGCTAAACATAGCGCTTTGCTCATAGGCTAAAAATGGCCACATTATGGTCACTTCTGGCCAGAGCCCCTACCTTTCACATGTCTGCTTTGTCCCTGCATGGCTTGTGGCAGACTGTGAATGCAGCTTATGACTTTCAAAGGCTCACTACTTGTCATTCTAACATTAGGAGTTTGTGGATGACTAATAGCTGTTGATTCTCCCAGCTGAGCTGTAGAAGTCTGCAGCTCCTCCATTGTGACTGTGGGCTTCTTGGTGGTTTTCTGCTTAATGCTGTCATGGCTGTTCAGTTAGTCGGTCGACCACGTATTAAAAAAAAAAAAAAAAAAAGAAAGTTGACCTTAAAAACGCTAATTGCTAGTCTTAAATTTTGACATGGCAGGAGTAAACCATCTTGTATGTAGTTTTTATTATTATTGCTTTTGATTCACATGTAAACATCTTTATTGTGTTGTGTGACTCAAGGTGATTGAGGCTAACTAGCTGCTAATATATCTTTACAAGCTATCTAGCTAGCTAGCTAGCTAGCTAGCTTTTTTGCATCTATTATGGGTAATTCCAAATATATCACCAGTTGGCTGATTAATTTGGATACAGACTCAACCCATAGAAGCCAGCCCTATATTTATAGTTTGTTTTTGTTTTTTTCAGTCTTAGATTTCATTCAAGGCGACATAGAAAGTCTTAGACATCTTAAATTTGACTCTGCCTATGCAATGTCCAAAAAATATTTGATATAATTTTATGACCTAACCTTGCTTTAAACTTTTGCGCAACTTAATCTCTGACATGTCTGCTGTGTCGCTTGGACTTTATGATTCTGTTTGTTCATTAATGTTCTGCTGCAGACCTTTGAGGCTCAGGCCTCAAATCAGGTGAATCCTGCAGGCAGATTTTATTTAAGCGCATTTGATTTGAGAGGGGGTGGATATGCAGGCTTTTTAGTTACGGGCCAAACACTTTGAAAACCATGTATCATTTCCTACATTTTCACAATTTTTTGCTACTTTATGTTGATCCATGTAATGAAATGTAATCGAATGTACTTGAAGTCATTAACAAGATGTGGAAGAGCTGTACATTAATGATTACAACTATAAACTGTAACATTTGGAGTTACTCAGAATGAACCCACCATTAACGACGGCTTTTGTGCTCCTTAGTCCGACCTTACTTTAGAGAAACTAACAGCCCTGGAGAACAGCAAGAACTCTGACCTGGAGAAGAAGGAGGGCCGAATAGACGATTTGCTGCGGGTACTAATCTCATTACACTTCATCCGTGCCACTTTGCTCGCTCTCTGTGAAGGTTTTCCCCACTCACGCACGTGCCGATTCTCTGCATTTGTGATGAACTGTAATAATCCTTTTCACCTTGCTTATTTCCCGCCTCTCTGTGCGTTCTGTTCCAGGCGAACTGTGAACTCAGAAGGCAAATCGATGAGCAGCAGAGGATGCTGGAACGATACAAGGAACGCTTAAACAAATGTGTGACCATGTCCAAGAAGCTGCTGATTGAAAAAGTATGAAATTGACGAGAGCCGGGGGCGAGGGGGGTTGAAAACGTTGCTCTTCGCGAGAAGCTGATCGGTGATGTTTGGTTCGTGTTTTTCTCTGCCGCTCAGTCCAAGCAGGAGAAAATGGCTTGCCGGGATAAAAGTATGCAGGATAGACTTCGATTGGGCCATTTCACTACAGTAAGACACGGCGCATCCTTCACTGAGCAGTGGACAGACGGATATGCGTTCCAAAACCTTATCAAGTGAGTAGATGAACACAAACTTTGCTCTTATTTTGTTGTTTTAACTTGAAAAGAGAATCAAAACTAACTCTTAAACTTGCTACTGCGCGTTTAGTTATGAGAACTAAGATGCAGTTGTTTAACGATGTGCATTCCAGACAACAAGAGAGGATCAACTCTCAGCGGGAGGACATCGAGAGGCAGAGAAAGCTCCTAGCCAAACGCAAGCCGCCTTCCATGGCCCAGACTCCGCCGCCGAGCCTGGAGCAAAACAAACGCAAAAGCAAGACCAATGGGACAGAAAGCGAAACGTACAGCACTTTTTCTTGCTCTTCTTTTCCTCGACGTTCGAAACGCGTCGACATGTTTGACGGTGCGCTGAGGTTTGTTCTGTCTTCTCCCAGGTTATCGCAGGCGGAGTACCACGAGCAAGAAGAAATCTTTAAATTAAGATTAGGGTACCTTAAAAAGGTAACGCATGATGTGTTGTTTTAAATTCCTTCTAAGCCTGCTATAATAAGCAATAAATCAATTAATCGAGTGATGAATTAAAATGTCCATCCCTTCCATTTGGACAAGTTGTTGAAGAGATGCTCCACTTTACAATTATTGAAAAGCCGCCATTTTGAGAAACATTTTGCTTGTACTACCTGCCACTTTTGCTTGTTTTCTCTAAGCTGAATGATTATTACTTTTTGAAATGCAGTGTTGGTTAGAGATTTATAATCCATTTTAATTATTGTTGATTTGTTTTGTTTAGAGTATTTAAAACATTTCTCCAGTTCCAGTTAAAGGTGTTTTGATGTTGGAGTGGTTGTGCTTACATTACTATGCCATTATCATATTAGTTAAAAGTTGTTTCAAACTGACAATATTATCATTTATCGCAATAATTTCTGGGACAATTTATCGTTCAGCAACCGCATCAAGTTTTATTGTGATATTTTAATAATTTTCTCACTCGGTAATTTTTTTGGGGGGGGATTTCTTGTTTGTCTTTGCAGGAGGAAGCTGAGATCCAGGCAGAGCTGGAGAGGTTGGAGCGAGTGAGAAACCTTCACATACGTGAGCTCAAAAGGATCCACAATGAAGATAATTCCCAGTAAGATTTCTTTTTCAGACATGGATTACAAAATCTTTTTTTTTTTTATCCAAGATGCAATTACAGTATTATTCAGATTTGACAGGATTAGACAAAGCTTAGATATTTAGCCAAATAATCTGTATATATGCTAATAATTTTGATAAAATGTTCTTAAAATCTTTATCAAAGCTCAGGACGTTTTCTCCAAACATTCTGTTGATGCTTGGTGTTTCGTTCATGAAGCTCACTCACATGATCCCAGGGTATCGCCCGTAAATAATCACTACTGGTAATTATATTGATCATGTTAATATGTAAAGGAATAACATTTAAACAAGCTGATAAAAAATGTACAGATATTAAATACAAATAATATTTTCCTCTAAAGTTGCACTTTTGGTTGAACTTGACTCTTTTTTTTGTTGTTGTTTAAAACAATTAATTTTTGTATTTGGCATTTTTAAACAGGCTTTTTAATATGAAGTTACATTAATGAAAAAGGCTTTTTTTTTACTACTTTTTACAGTGCTAGAGAAAATGACCCCTTACAGATTTCTTTTAAATATTCAGACATAAGTAAATTTAATATCAAGATAACTTGAAATGCAAACTCCAGTTTTCAAATAATGATTTAATTTAAGGAAAAATGATCCAAACCAACTTGACCCCGAGGAAATAATAATTGTTCCCTCGTTGCAATATGGATTAAGTGTGTTTCACCTCTAGAATTGAGATTAATTCCTTCATGTTTTTTTTACGCTACACCTATCATTTCCTCCTCTTGCTAGATTCAAAGATCATCCTACGCTAAATGACAGATACCTGCTGCTCCATTTGCTCGGGCGAGGAGGTTTCAGTGAAGTTTACAAGGTGAGACAAAACATTTCTTTTCCTAAGCTACAGGAGGAACAATCAGCCAGCCAGTCTGTTGTTTAACTGCATTGTGTTCCTGTTTTGCCTTTATTTAATAGTTTTTTCAGGCTGAAAAAGTAACAAAATGATCCTGTTTGTCCTATGCTGCTTTATAAAATCAGAGCAGCTCACATTGTGATGTTAAACTGTGTCTGCTGTGCATGCTGTAGTTGGTATTACTTTAGGTTGAAGTTACTGTTTTGAGGTTAATCACTGTGCCAAAATGTCAGGGTTCCAGGAATCTGCTGTCAGGACAGTTAAAATGATTAATGAACGCAGCCATTTTAACGTGAGGCAAGAGTCTTGGTGCAGCTAAAGCAAAACAAAGCCATATGTACTTTCTATCTAACTGGGGATTTCTTTATTTATTTCTTTTTTTATTCAGGCCTTTGATTTAACAGAGCAAAGGTACGTTGCCGTTAAAATCCACCAGTTAAACAAGAACTGGAGGGATGAGAAGAAGGAAAATTATCACAAGTGAGTGTTTGAATCATTCCTGTAACATTTTTTTTCATGGTAATAAACCGTGCATTCAGAGGACCAATGCAGACTTGGAAAAATATGGAAATGCAGTGAAGTGAATTTGAGTGTTTCTCACGTCCAGATAAGTATGGAAAAGGAGATTAAGAGCATGAAAGACATTTATAGTTTTTAGCTTTATTTTGTCTAAATCTTTACTTGCTGCTATGTGTCCTTTCTTGTCTCCTTTATTTTTTTTCATTCTTTCTTTCTTGATTTCCTCCTTTCTTCTTTTTTTCAATTTTATGTATTCTGCCATAAATAGAAGTATCCTGTTACAGATTCATTGTATTTTTTTAAATTGGTAACAATGAATGTAAAAAAAAAAAAAAGAACTTTGGAAAGTTCAGCCTGGAAATGTATGGAATCCTTTTTACGTGAAAATGTCTAAGAAGCCTTTTTATTAGATAATAACAAAAGACATTGTGTTTTTGTTTTTTGCTGTTGTGTTTTTTTCCAGACATGCGTGCAGAGAATATAGAATCCATAAAGAGCTGGATCACCCACGGATAGTTAAACTCTATGACTACTTTTCACTTGACACTGACTCGTAAGTCATTGGAGCAGGCGTGCAACTATTGAATTTTTCTTTCGTCCAGCTATGAAAGTCGCCGACGTCCCGCTGACTCTGTCTGAGCAGGTTTTGCACGGTGCTGGAGTACTGCGAGGGCAACGACCTGGACTTCTACCTGAAGCAGCACAAGCTGATGTCGGAGAAGGAGGGACGCTCCATCATCATGCAGATCGTCAACGCCCTCAAGTACCTCAACGAAATTAGACCTCCCATTATCCACTACGACCTTAAACCCGGTCAGTCTTCACCTTCGTTACCTTTTTCTGCTAGTTTTAATTTTGAGGCACATGTTTGGAATAGAAACACATCTATAAAACTAAATTGCTAGGAGTCGCACTAAGATGAGAAGTCTGTTTATGTCGAGGCAGTTTTTGACTTGTGACCTTTTTTCTTTATAAGATTCAACATTACCTAACTATTCAGATTGTAAAAAAAAAAAAAAAAAAATTCTGGTCTGTCGATTAATTTCATTTTTATAAAGTCAAACCAATCTAAACAAATCCAACTATATAGATGGATTAAATTTTAATTACAGCATAACTCCTTCACCGGCTTTTTTTTAAAAGAGACGAGGCTAAATAGCGCCCAAGTGCGTCATCTATAGTGAGATGACAAAGTTTAAAAAAAATTGTCAACTCATGTCAGGGTTTTTTTTTTGTTTTTTTTTTACCCCTTCTTAGGTAATATCCTGCTTGTGAATGGCACTGCCTGTGGTGAGATTAAGATAACAGATTTCGGCCTTTCGAAGATAATGGATGACGACAGCTACAACTCTGTAGATGGGATGGAGCTGACCTCACAGGGAGCGGGAACATACTGGTAAGATTGGTTCCCAGACCGACACACTGGGGGTCACCAACTCTTCAGTGACTTTTCTACCACACTTTTTCCTTCCACTCAACTCTTGGATTACGGTATTATTCTTGGATTACAGCGCTGTGGCAATGACAATTTGTGGTTTACCCTACTAGTTGGGAGTGTTATTAAAATTTGCTGAACTTTCAACTCTGCAGTCTTTCTTGCGATCATTTAGACCAAAACATTTACGTTTTAATTTTTTTTTATTTTTTTTTTATGGTTTCGTGATATTCTGAAGAAAAAATAAAACTGTATTTTGCGTTAGCTTTGAACCATAAACATCAAAATTAACAGAATTAAATTCAGTTACCGAAATAAATAAACTTTTCTATTATATTTTAGTTGTCGAGAATCACGTGTAGACGTTTACTCTTGCTTTTAGTGTGGCCACGACAAGTTTTTGAAAATAGAAAAATGGTTGCAGGTGTGTGTTTTGTGAAATTTACGCACATAGAAATGAATTCCTCTTTCATCTCCAGGTATCTGCCCCCAGAGTGTTTTGTGGTTGGCAAGGAGCCACCGAAAATCTCCAATAAAGTCGACGTTTGGTCCGTGGGTGTCATTTTCTACCAGTGTTTATACGGCCGTAAGGTAGGAGTCGCAGTAAGACGAGAAGTCTGTTGGTGTCGAGTTCAGTTTTTGAGTTCGGTTATTATTTCGACTTTATGCCAACACCTTTTTTTTTTTTTTTTTTTTTTTGACCTTTTCCGCCGTAGCCTTTTGGTCACAACCAGTCTCAGCAGGACATCCTGCAGGAGAACACGATCCTGAAGGCCACAGAAGTTCAGTTCCCCCCAAAACCTGTAGTCTCACCTGAAGCCAAGGTATTTATTTTCATAGCGTCACCAAAGCCACAACCAAGAGTTTCTTTTTTACAGTTTAAAAAGTTTTATCCTTTTTTAAAAATATATATTACATAAATTTTGGGCTATTTTTACCTGTATAATATAGCTAAAAAATCGTATTGCGTTTTAAGGTTTCTATATCAGTCAATATCGATAATTATATTGATAATTATTTATTAGACTTTTTTGTTTTAAATATCTGAAATACTACCATTGTTCTTTATTTTTAAGCAGTTATGAGGCACAGTGGCAAAACCTATAACTGCTGCTGTGCAAGTTACTTTAGAGATTGTTGCTAGGTAACCAAAGAGTGAGTGAGTTGCTAGGTAACCAAAGAGTGAGTGAGTGAGTTAGTTAGTTGCTATGTAACCAAAGAGAGAGTGAGTTGATTCCACCAACCTTCCTTAGCTAGCTGTGAGAGGTTTATCAGCAAAGTCTTTCCTTCCCCCAGAATGCTTTGCAGTTCTGGTTTGGAGTTCAGTGCAATTATTTGACTCAGAGTTGAGTAGTAACTGGTTGCATTTACTCAATACTTGAGTAACTTTTTTGAGGAAAAAGTACTTTTAAGAGTATTTACTACTCTGTACTTTTTACTTTTACTTGAGCAAATATATGATGGAGTAATGCCACTTTTATTTGAGTAAAATTTCTGGGTTCTCTACCCACTGAATGAAAAACAAACTTGTTTTAATCAAAAATTCACACACCGGCAGTTTTTGTTAATGTTTTATATTGAAAGAAACTGATTTGGAAAAATGTTGTTTTGCCTGATTTTGTTTTTGTTTGTTTTTTGTTAGTTATGCAAATTATTTTCATTTTGGTTCCTAAAATACCAAAATTTCCATTAAATTTTATATTTTGGTCTGTCTGATTATGTAATTTCTAAATATTAAATGATTGATCATTTGATCAGTTACTCTGTACTTGAGTCAACTTCTTACCAAATACTTTTTTATTCTTACATGAGTCATTTCTTGGATGGCTGCGTTTTACCTTTACCTGGGTAAAAATACGTTGAAGTAGTGTTGCTCTTACTGAAATACAATTTTTGGGTACTCTACTAACCTCTGATCTCAGACATACTATCTATTTATATTGATCATTTGTCTCTTGTGATTGTATATATTAATTGTCCAGCCATACCTGGCCATTATTCCCACCCTCTTATGGTGTTTTTCTTCAGGCCTTTATAAGGCGCTGTCTGGTCTACCGTAAGGAGGACCGCATCGATGTTCACCAGCTGGCCAGTGACCCCTTCCTAATGCCCCACATCCGCAAATCAGTGGCTTCCTCGGGCAGCTCCGGCACGGCCGTGGCCTCCACATCCAGCTCCTCCAACAGCAGCGCCTCAAACTGAGCTCATGCCCCTCAAACGACTGACCGGATCATTCGATTGGACGGGGGACGGCTCCCCCGTTCTAACAGCATCTCACCTTGCCATGGAGAGTTGGAGGGAAACTGGTCGGATGGCAGCATGGGGTGGGTGAGAAGTCAAGGAGGGGTTGGGAACGGATACTGTCACCTCCACAACCCTCCGATGTCCATCCACCCCAGCCCACCCGTCCTGGCATTGTTCCGGGGGTCAAAGCCCTGGATGACTCGCGCTGCGAAGGGTCGGGTTTTCGGCACTGTGTTGGTGAAAAGTGAGTTTCGTGTTTCTGATGTTCCTTTTTCTGCTTAAAAAGAGAAAATAAAACCACGTATTGAACCGCTTCAGCTCGGCCAGATGGAACGGACTGCAGAAGGCCTCATTGTCATATACTCTCTCACACATACACACACACACGCGCATGCGTGCATGAGCCTCTCTGGCCCAAGGTAGTCAGAACCTCACAAACATGAACATTTTGTTTGCTCTTATCTCCCTGAAGCTAAACGAGCGAGCGAGCCAGTCTGGGCCGTTACTGTTTGGAACCCTCAACGGCGCCGCGGCGCCTGATTCTGTTTAAATTCAGACCCGCGTAGTTTCTCCACGAGGGACGACGAAGCCGTCCCTCACATCTAGTCAAACTCCTGTGACCAAAGCTTTTAACTTCCAGCTGGTGGCAGTGTTCCACCTGTTTTTATAACGAATGGTTTTAGAGCTGTGCTGCTTGACATGGAGCGGAAGCTGCTTGAGGATTGACCCAATTTTTACGGAAAAGATCTGTTCATGTAATTTAGTTCATGAAGAAAACAGTTGTTTTCATGTTGCCTTTAATTAGAATTGTTACTGTTTTGGGCAACCCACAACCCCCTGCCTCTGTGCTCCCTTTTTTTTTTTTTTTTTTTTTTTTTTTTAAAAAAAATATTTATTTTTTTCATTTTTATTTTATTTTTGGCTAATAAAATTCACGGACTGTGATA